TGAGTGAAGCTTCCTTCTGTGAAATGAGATTTTGCAATGTGCTACTTCCATACTAGCACAAGTTTGGATAATGGGGATAGAACATGCATTGTTCTGAGTGAAACTTTAGGAAACAGAAGGATATTTCCCTAGGAAAGTGAGTTGTAATATAAATAATATAGGATCCCCACTAATTGTTCCGCTGTGAGACCATAGAGACCATCATAAGCACAAGCTCTTCCAGCATCTCAACCTGAAAAAGCAGGTTGAAATAAGATCTCCCCATTTCTTGTTTATTGCTTTTTAAAATGGATATCTATATCTTGGCTTATGCCTGCTCATACCCAATATATAAAATTAATACATTAAAGCATATGTAAAGTTTTGAAAATAACTAATAGAATTCTGGCAGGATTCCAGATAAATTCTGCTAAGGTTTAGCATTAGGGATAAAATGATACATAATATTAAGCAAATGCAAAGCTTTGGAAATATGCAGTGGGGAGGGAAATGTATGCTGTGGTAGGGCTTTGTTTGGGAATTGTAGTAAAGACTGTTGGGGCCAAAATCTTGCTGTGGGTGACCTTTCCTGGTATATAATTCTAAAGCTTTGTATTTCCTTTGAACTAAGTAATGTTAACCCTACCTCTGTGCAAAGTTCAACCTGGGTTTTAGCGGCCCATGGTTTTAGCGGCAAAGTAATACTGTAATCCGTTAATCAACAGTCCATTCCTTCTGCTGTCTTTTTACTATGGAAAACATATCCAGCTACTGAGTGCCAGCCAGAGCTAAATATCAAATTATTGCTTTTAAATCATGCTGTAGAGATGTTTCCACATTTCCAAGTCCAAGCTGTAGCTGCCTGCCCATTGGCCTAATAAAAAGCTGCAGCTCCTTCTCTTACTATAGGTCAAAAGATTTACTTTAAATCTGTTTTAGCAACTAACAAGTGTGCCTCTTCTCTCATTGTCACCCTAGTGAAGGTTCTGGGGGCCCAGACTGGAGCTTAAAACCGGAGTGGTGCCAAGTTGTGAAAAGATCTATGGCTGAAGCCCACAAGATGAACTCTCCCAAATTAGCATATGCTAAGTTATATATTCCTTAAAGTTTCTTTGTGTAAAGGCCCCATCTCCTGAGGTCACCCTTATTTTTTTGGGTGGCGGGGAGAAAACTCGACGGGGCAGCAGGAGTGGGGAAGCAGCTCTGGGCAAAAAGCCAGATAATCCAGGGGGATCAGATGCAGGAGAGGTAATCAGGGCCCCTGTGGCTTTATTTCAACCAGTTGTTAATGGACATCAGGGATGCCCTTCCAGAGATTCAGGGCTTCAAGTGAACGTTTTAGGACTCCAGCCCTAATGGGCTGTCCTCTAAGTCCACTTCTCAGCTCCCCTGCCCCATCCACCATGCTAAGGTATTGGTCCAGATCAGGGCCCTGTCCCTACTGTTGAGTAAAAATTAGCAAGCAGGGACATAAGGCTGCCAAATAACATCTGTTCTGGCCTTGAGAGATGCCGAGGAAACACCAGTGTGAATGCTGGACTCGTAGTTCCTTATGTATATTGGCATTCTTCTCATTATCCTGGGACGTTGTACAGGGCCTGCTGTTCCCAAGCCACAGCTGAAACAAGTGTTCCTGTGGGTGAAATAGGGACCCAGTGGGAAATACACTGTCAGGGCTCGGCCTACCTCTGCCTTGTGTAGTATTCTGTTTGGGCAGATGGTTTGTGCTTTGCCTCCCCTCCCAGGGCAGCCTTTTGGGGGGGGGGGGGTGAAGCATTTTGTACTGGTGTCAGGACAACTTGCCAAACCTGTCCACAGGTCAGGAAAGTTGCCTATTCCAACACCTGTTTCGTAATATGCACTTGGGTATGGATTCATTCCCTCACACACCATCACACCCATTCTTGCACATAGCACACACTTACATGCCTCCTACACAAACACACAAAGCACTAAATTCACAGAGTTAGCTTTGGAAAAAAGACAATACTGACAACAGTGAGAGGCTTGCAGCCCCCTGGGAAGGCCCCCCAAACCCCCTTCCCTAATTTTGACCAAAGGGAAATTACTAAGGAAGAGGCCAGGCTACAGCTGACTGTAATATACTTCTTTCCCTGATTCCCACAGCCTTTTCTCCCCACCCCCTTTAAAAAGTATAGCCTCTGGACAGGAAATATGTTAAAAAATGATTTCAGGGGTCCCCCACATTTTTTGCTCCCAACATTTGGGAATTTAAGATACTGCAGTGGACAGCGCCCCAGAAGATTTGGATAGTCACATAATGGCTGCCATGAGGACTTAGCTGATCAAACTGAGCTACAGAGGTGTGTGTATGTGGGGGAGACATAGTGAGGCTAGAGGCTGGGAGGGAGGGGAGTTATGCTGAGGTAGAGCAAGAGAAAAAGAAAGGAAGGTAAAGAGGAGTGCCCTAACATTTTTCAAGATTTTAAAAAAATGAGCACAGCAGTGAATGGAGAGCTCTGTGGGCAGAGTTGGAGGTCCTTGTGGGTGTCATGGAACTCCTGGATGCCACACTGTGTACCCCCAAGTTGTACAACTGCTAGAAAACATTAGGCAAAATTACAAATAATGTTTGCTCCATTGAAATGAATGGGGATGGTGTTTTTCTGTAATTCCCATTCAGCGGAGGAATTTGCCAGTGGATTGTGCTGCAGTGGGTCAAGTGAAGAATGTGAGCAAATGTTAACGTGTGTTGGCCCCAAAGTTTTGAGGGCTGGTGGGATTTCCCCAGAACCTGGCTTTCCAACAGAAAACTCATAAAAGCAGAGTGGCATTTTGATCCCCAAGGCAACATCCTGTACACTTCCTTTACTAATGTAAATCAGGAAGGGCAACAGATTAAAAAACATCAGGAAAAAAGAATAGCAGAATGTATTTTGACGCTCAGCCAAAAGCTGCTGTTATAGCTTGCAGTGTTTCTTTGTGGTCACATCTTTTTTTGTACACAGGGTTTTTTCCTATTGCACTTCGAACAGCCTCTTTGACAGTCTCAAGCCAAACATTTTCATTCTCACATGCATTGCCCTGCTACTCCTGGCAAGAATTGCTCCAAATGCTGACATTTCCAGGCTTAAAATAAACCCAGGAGAAAACAAAAACAGCAAGGTAGCTTAAAATAAGTCCCTAGCCCAATATCTAGGAGCAGTATAAATCATGATTTCTTTTTGTTGAAAAATCTAATGACAAGGGATTTTATACAGCAGCACTTTTTATAAGGAAGCATCTTAATGTGATATGACCAGGCTTCATATATCCTCCGATTGCACAGCATCTGAACCTGCAAATTTCCATTAGCTTTCATAGCTAATAAAGGCTGATAGATTGATTCTAAAATATTACACAGTACATGAGGCTGACTTTTAAAAAGGTCCAATAGCTGTAGCTGATGCAAAATAGGGCTACAGGATTGCTAACAGGGACTAGCAATTTCAATCTTTTGCTAGCATTTTCTTATGATATGCACTGGCTCCAAGTCTGTTTCCAGGCCCAATTTAAAGTATGGATTTTACCTTTTAAAATCTTTAACGTCAGGGTGGAGGACCAGTGTGTCCCCAGATGCTCTTGAATTCCAGCACTTGTCAGCCCCATTAAGTATGACCAGCAGTTGGATGATGGGAATTGTAATCCAACAACATTAGAAGTGTAGCTGGTATGCCACTTCTGCCTTAGCAGCTTGGGATAAACTTATCTGAAAGATTGGCTCCTCTTCTATATATACGTACCTGGATTTTAAGACAGTTTTCAGAGCTTCCCCTGTTCTATCAAGGGAAGAGAGATGGATAGCTATTAAGAACAGCTACCCATCTCTTTTTAGCAGTGGTCCCCTAGCTTCAGAATAGCCTAGTCTTACCTTGGTGGAGCCAGCTGAAGAAAAATAGTTATTCACTCAGCTTTTTCAACAACTTGTGGATTTAGGGTTTTTTTCCCCATTTAAGTTTTTAAAGTTGCTATAAGAAACAGGATGCTGGACTAGATGGATGTTCAACCATTATGCTCTTGTTTTATTGTCAATCCCTGCTAGGAATAAATGGGCACCCTTACCTGTAGCATAATCCCACACCTATCTGTGCAGAGGTTAGTCCCATGGAGTTCAGCTGATAAGTGTGTACAGCAGCCTCCCCTGCCTGGCTGGCCAACGCATCCAGAGGCCACGACTCTCTTCAGTCACTGCCAGCATGGCCAGTGGCTAGGCATGATGGGAGTCATTTGAAATACTGGACCATACCAGGTGGGGCAAGCCATTCAAAATAGTGGCCATCAGAATATTCTGCAGCAATGCAACTCAGATTTGATGTCTTAAACCAGTTGTTTGTCAGTTTCCATTAATTATTGGAATTAATTGTCCGTTGATAGTGATTACTTTTATTTCTGTACCTCCAAATAGCTGCTCTCTGGGGCAGTTTACTACATAGACTACAATAAAAACACAATACAGAAAATATAGAAAACAATAAAAACATAAAATTACTGTACAGCTGTACTGTAGCTAGTCACTAACGCAAATCACAAGACCCCTTGTGATCCAGTATAACATTAATGCTAATTAAATGCCCTGTCATAGAGAACAGTCTTAAACTGGCACTAAAATGATATTAGAGTTGGTATTAGGTGGACCTCAGTGGGAAACTTGCTTCATTAGTAGGAATAGTGGAAACGGTTGACGGGAGAGGCTAAACCTGTTGGAAAAGTGACTGGTAAGTTGGTTAAACCAATGTGCTCACGTTTCCTTGAGAGAGTCCAAGTCCATCTGTTATAACTGCAGGCTTCAGACTGTGCTAATTACCAGCGATAGTAGTTGTAGTCCAACACATTGGTGGGGGCACTGGATTGGGAAAAGCTTTCTTCAGATTTTGTATCTTTGGCACTGAAAGCACATCCGCACTTTGGCTCATTGGCTCATAATTGTGGTTTAGACTTTGGGAAATACTGTCCGTTGCTCACAAGTGGTCATGATGCTTCTAACAGAAATCACAACGTATCCTTGTGCCTTCTCTGTCCAGGTCTCTCAGGCAGCTGCAGAGCTGCAGCAATACTGCATGCAGAATGCTTGCAAAGATGCCTTGCTTGTGGGAGTCCCTGCTGGGAGCAATCCATTTCGGGAACCCAGGTCTTGTGCATTGCTCTGAAGCCAGGTATGGAAAAAACAGCATTTCTTTTCTAAGTTTAGGCCAGGGTCCAGAGAAACCCAGAGCGCCCAAGAGCTTGCATGAATTTGGAGGTTTCAGTTTCTCAAATAGTAGGCAGACACATGCATATGCTCCTTCTTCTTGGGATGGTGTAGAAGACTTTAGAAGGAAAATGGCTAGTTAAACAACTTAGGATGCATTGTGGAGGCCTGCTGGCCAAGGAAGACAACCTGCAGATTGTGTTGAGCGTCCCCACGCGCAACTGTTACATTTGGGAAAGGCCTTCATGGTCTCAAATGGAAGGCCTTTTTCAGTTCTAGTTGCCAAGTGGGGGATCACTTAAGGGATTACACCATGTGGGAAGGGCTAACAATTCCCTCCCCGCTGTGACACCCCACTCCCTGGCAATTAGACTTGAAAAAGCTTCCCACAGGAAGGCTTTTTCCAAGTCTAATTGCCCCACAACAGGGCTGGGGTTGCTGTCATGTGTACACTCATGTTTCATGTGAGAATGGGGGTGTGAGGATTTGTATAGATTGGGGGAGGATGGGTGGGTGGTCCAGCCACCTGCTTTGGTCCCACTGCTTCCCCTGGATGGGCTGAAAATGGCTCTGCATACCTTCTTTAGTATGATCAGGTAACAGAATCTGCAGGGCTGTGATGGCAGGAGAAGGTTTAGTCCGTAATGACTGAAGTAATTTGAGAAAAGGATCAAGTGTTAAGGGTTAGGCTTAACACTCCCCCCATCTCACCCATTAATGCAGCCTTTTGATTTCTCCCTAAGACCCAACTTAGGGACCCTGTTACAGTGAGAAAAAATTGTGCTTTCTGCTGCTGACACTGAATGATGCAGGCTTCATCCAGTCCAAAAATGCTAGCGCATTTCACTTACAGTGCTTACAGCCTGTAACTGAGCCTTAGAGCAACCTTTTAGAATGGGAAAGATAAAGCACAAAGCTGGGAAACCAGCAAATGATTGGTGGTTGGGCGTAGGCTTACCTTGAGCAACATTTTTTTGTAAAAAGATGGGGTACTAGTCAATGAAAAAGGGTGTGTGATTACTGGGGATTTCCATGGGATCTACATGGTTTTCCAACTCTGTTATAGGCCATGGAAAGATCATGCCTAGTGCCTTCCAGATGCTTTTCACTGCTGCATCTATAATTCCTGGCCTCTGGCTGTGCTGGCTGGGGCTGATGGGAGTTGTAATAAAAAGTATCTGGAGGGCACACATTACCTATCCTTTCACAGTACACTGTGTGCCTCGGTGATCATTTCACCCCCTTCTAGAGGAATACATGAAATGAACAAGCTTTTCCATTATAAAATTTCCGTGGCACAAATTTTACTGGTGACTTTTGCCTTGGGAAAGTAAAGACAAACTTTTAATAAACTGTTTTTTCCATGTTTCAGGGAAAATGATCAGAAAGCTCTCTTCAAGTATGAGAAGAATCCCAGCAGTGTCCTTTTTTCAAAAAATGCTTTCTCCAAGCCCTGACTTGTGTGTGGCCAAAACAGTTATCATTAGATATTTATTAGTCTACTTGACCATCTTAGCAGCTGATTAAAGTTTTGTTGTTGTTGCTAATATTTGTATGAATGATTTAATGAGAAAAAGGCTTTCCTTTTGTAACTGAGACAGCCCCCTTTCTACATTTATTTCTCTGAGATGTTTACATTTTAGGAAAAAAAGAATTACCAAACAACTTGTTCCTTGTTAATCATTGTGCCTGAATGAAACTCTTACTAGGTACCTTCTTACTAACAGCTTTGTTTTCTGAACAAAGATGCTTGTGGGGCCCTGATCCAGCCAAAGCCAAGCCTTTTTAAGACTACAATCCAATGCACATTTGCCTCAGTGGAACAAATTTACTTTTGAATAAATATTCCTAGGATCAGGCTGCATGTCCCATTAATTACATTGGGAGATCATTATGCACATACTTCAGCTCCCCTGCTGAAACTGGAGACGTCACTTGGAAGTGCTCAACTTTGGCTGGAGTGGACCCAATTTTAGTAACAGAAGAGGGCCACATGGTACTTCTGGGCCGACCACAAGTGGTCCTTGGAGGCATGCAGTATGGCCAATCCTGGAAACCCCCTCCCTCATCTCCAGCAAGCTTGCTGTTCAGTAGACTGAGGGGAAGGGGATTGCGATGGGGAGGAGATGCATGGGAATGGCCGTTCCCATATACCACCTTCCCTGTGTACATTCCACCCTCCTCAGCCAGCATGATTGTGATGGGCAGAGGGGGCCCAGGAAAAGTCATTCCATGAACTTTCATCTTGCATTTAAATTGCATGTGCATGCACACACACCCATGTATCATTCTGTACACCCAACTGATAGACATGGAGAAAAGCTCAGGAACGCAGGGACTGGTGTGCTTCTCAGCTGTTCCCACCCCCAGTCAGTAGTGAGAAAGGCATAGTGGTATCTTAGTGCAGAAGGAGAAGATGAAACCTCCTAATTTAACATGCTGGGATAAGGGGTGGGTTGTGCAAACGGGAAGGAGCTGGGAAGGCTTTGTAAGTGAGGAGACAGCGTGTGTGCATGCATATGTCTATTCTTTGCGTAGCTGGGCCGGCAGGTCAGCCCTTGCCACATTCCCTTAACCCTAAGCCATGCTCATCTCTGACACATGGCCCACCACCACTATTGCATGCAGCCCTTGGGGCAAGCAGGTTACCCACCACTGCTATAGGGAAAAATACTTTTTTTTTTTGTTATTCCTGAAAAACAGTTACATGACGATTTCTAAAAATAACTGATATCATCTGTAACACGATGGAATTCTTCCCACATGCTCACCACAGAAGGTCTAGTCTGTCTTTATTTCTGATCGTGCTTTTACAGAAAACTATTTTTAAGTGTCTAAACTGCAATTCAGCAGATCATCACAACGAGAACACTACACAATATAAATGCAAATAATTCCACAGGCCAAACTTTTCCAAGGCTTGCTACATTATTGGAAGCTCTAAAAAACTGTTTCTGGGTTGGGATGCCTTTGATTTTTGTTTATTGAGCACTTTTATACACACTTGTTTACTTTTTAAAAGAATGATCTGTTTACACACCATTGTTTGTAGTAATATATTAGATGCTTTAAAAAATAAAAACAGTCTTTCCCTAACTAATTGGACCACTTTGTTTACGGTATGAAAAAGGAAACCCTTGCAGTGATGAACAGAAGTGGTTTTTGATGGATGGGTTTGATGTCTAAATGCAGTCTTCACAGAAGTCATAAATCGGCAACGCCCTGTAAGATAGTCCTGTAAATATGTCCACAACAGTTACTAGCCTGCAAAAATTTTAAAAAGCAGCCTGTGTATGTTAAGTCATTTGTGGCACAGTTGCAACCTGAAAAAGAAGCACCTGCTTTATTCAGTACATAGTAAGATCCTTATGTACTCCTCTGGAGGCCATTGTTATTTAATACAGGGAACTAGGCAAGTGGTTATTGCAAGCCTGCCTTTCTTACTCATGTTTATTAATGTGAATAGAATTGCTAGGATGCTTGGACAACAGAAATTAAGAAGCCTGTATTGTTTTACTGTAAGGAGGCAGTTCCAAAGGTGACCCATCCTTTGGTATCTGCTATCAGTCAACCACTCAATAACAGTCGGTGCATTTTGAGATCAACCTGCAAAGTGTTTCTTTTGATGAGAACTTTCCAGACCTCTGCAAGCCTTAGTAGCATCCCATGTCTGTCAAACAAGACCACTGCCTATCCTTGTGGAACAGCCACCTCTGGCAGTGCAGGGGATGGGGAACCTCAGGCATGAGGACCAAATCTGGAATAACTGTACCTTTCCCCCCAACCACTGATTGATGGCTTTGTCATTTCTTTTTGTGAACAATTTGCATTATATGTTTCAAGGGAATGTCAAGATGGGAAGTTTTATATAGTTGTGCTATTTTTTTCACATGTATCTGCCACAGGCTCAGTTTTCTCTTGTTTTCAGGGTTGTGTTGAGGTGTCATTAGTTTTGCTTAATGTGCCTCATGTAGCATTGGATTACAAGGTGAAATAAAGGAAAAGGAGAGGGCATGTTTAAACCATGTTTCCCCAAAAGCAGCAGCTTCCCACCCTGAGGCTGTTCATTCTGTAGATGGATGTCTCTTGTGTTGAAATAACAGATTTCCAAAATCAGCAATATAGATCTGGAGTGCTGCTGCCAGGTCTGTGGAAATGGAAAATCATTAGGTCACAGACCACCGAAAAAGTGTGTGTGTGTGTGTGGGGGGGGGAATGCTCCTTGCCTCCTTTTAAAAGCCAGAATATTTTTGGTTTCTGCCTATATTCCATAATCAAATGTAGTAATCTGTACAAGTGGTTTGCTTGTGTTCTGTGCTGAAATCTTTTAAAAATTCAGTAGCATCTCAATTTACCACCCTCAGCCTCACTTTCTGTTTTGTTTTTTCTCGCAACTGAAAATTAAGGACAACAGATATCTAGTGAATTATTCAATGAATTGTGGATTAATGACTGATTCTACAAGATCATTCAAATCACTTCCCTAACACACATCTAGATGTCGCATTATTTCAACATTTTTTACCACTCTGGCCTAAGCATGCTGAGTATTTGAAGTCTGATGACTTTTTGCATGACTTTTTGTAACCTTTGCAAGGCTGTAGTACACATATGTGGCCTTTGGTTCTGAATTTTAAGATTATCACAAGGAACAGTGACCTGCCTTTATTGGTATCTCATGTGATCCTTTTAAATATGATATCATACACTATGGAGTACAAGATGTTGCTAGCAAAGTAGCTGCAGTTTGGGGGTTTATAATGTTCCATATCCCTTTAATTAGGGGTAGTATGTTTGTAGCAGCTTGAAATTTAAATAGCATTCTGACAGGTGGGCACAATGTTTACATTGTTGCCTACAACACTCTGGTGATGTAGAAGTTAGTAAGCTGGATTCTTTTCTTTTTTTTTTTTTTTACACTAAAGCATTAAGCCTTAAAATTGAATTGTTACTCTTCCATAAAAGCAACAATCACTGAACATGTGGAACTTTTATTGATTTCTAGGGACCTGTGTCTAAAGCTAAGATTAAAATTCACAATTACTATGAAACAGAATTGTTGGAAATGACAATTATTGCTGACTGTTTTAACAACCTGATGTTGGTGAACTCTTCTGAAGAACTGTCTGAATATTTTTTGGTATATTTGATATGATCTGAGACAATCTCTTCACTCTGTGACAAAGAGGATGTGGGCAAGTTGCAACCTCACTTCCCTTTTTCTTCAGCCTCAGATTTGGGGATTTGTGTCATCTGGTTTTCTCCTCCTCTCGCCTGTCCCTTGTTCTTCCTGGAAAGAAAAAATGAGGAAATCCTCCCCTAAACCTATCCTGTCTGGCCTTTAAATAGCCACCAACTTTTAAATTAATGGCATTGTGAACAGATTTTATGATCGGATATACTTTATCCTTGTTCTAGCTTTCTGCCAGTGTTTTTGTTTGCTTGTTTTCCCTCTTTTGTTTTGTTATAACTGCAAATAAAATTTGACACATAAATAAATTGCCACTCAGAGGAAAGACAAGGATCCTCCATTGTACAACATCTAGGATTGGGCTACAAGTGCTGGTGCTTCCATTGCCATAATAACAAACCAGTGCCACTTGCCCCAGCCTCATTCAGTTGTCATCCCATGAGTTGTGATGCTAATTCAGTTGTTGGGGCAACCACTCCTCCACAGAGCTGCCGGGGCAGCCCATCAGTAATGGCAACGGGGGACTTCATTGTCCTTAGAATCTTTCAGTCCCCATGAAATTCGGCTTGTAGAACTCTAATGCAGATCTTTTTATACCAATTATGTGAATAAATTACAGAGATACTGCAAAATTGAAATAGAGGTTTAATTTGGTCTAAACTGATCATATCCAACTGCACATACTTCTCTATTCATTCTCCAGATGTATCTCAGTTTTCTTAAAATCTAAAAGCCCAAATATGCAAAAACTAATTTTCTTAACAGCATATAAAAGATTGCAAGGCATTAAAATGACCAGTGATAAAACTAGGTTAATTATACAATTATTTTAAAACCACTGTTTATGCTGTATATCACATGCAAATAAATATCTCAACAGTGTGCTTGCTTTTCCTTTAAAAAAATTTAAGACGTGTTTGACCATCACTTCTCCCAGGATCTTTTTCAAATGTCAGACGTCTTTTTTTAAGCTCTGGTATTTGGGTGAATTCTAAATCTGTGAAAGAAAAAAATGCAGGAAAGAGTGTTAATCTAGTAAGCATTCTATAATTATTTATAATTATTTATTTATTAAAACATTTCTATGCCGCCCCATTCACCGACGCCTCGGGGCGGCTCACAACATAAAGTTAAAATACAAAAAATAACAATATAAGAAAATAACAATATAAAATAAGTAACAATATAAAATTATGCAGATTTAACCTATTAGTCTTATCCCATAATAAGAAAATGTGCATTTAAGTAATTAAAGATTTGAGTCAGTCAATGTTAAGCATGCTAAATGCCACTGACTTGATTTTGAGAGAATTTAATGCCAGTTTAATTCCCACCAGATTTAAGGCCTTAGTTAGCTACTGTAGATTGTGCTCTAAACTGCTAGCTTAAAAAAGAAATTACTTCTTCACTAATGCAATGGGGTATTTCAAAATATATATCTGAGTTTAAAATGGAGTCAAAGTTACAACATGAATTACTTCATAGGTCATGTAATTATGGGCTTTAACTTACAGCTCCTCCTCTATAAAGTTCAGAGCAGCCTCCATACACTCCCAGAAGTCTCTAATCAAAGCACTGATTAGATCCACATCTATTTCGCTTCGATAATTGTACAGCACTGGGTGTTTCCAAACTATGAGTGATCTACTGTTATTTAAAGCAAATCAAAGGCTGTTGAAACCTGATGTACTTGTCTATATACATCACATACATGGAGTATAATTTAGGCCTATTATAGTGGTACCCCTCCCAAAAGAACCCACCCTATAAGTGGTTCTTTTAAAGTCTCATTTATGGTATAGGAAGAAGAGGAAATTTCTCTCTGAATGAAGAAAAGGACACCAGCTGGCACAAGGGCCAAATGTTGCCCATTCCTGATTTAGGGGGGACAATTTAACAAATGGAGCTTGACGCTTCACATGGAGGAAGCATGTATGCACAGTTAAACATGCCCATGAATTGAGATAATGGGGTTTTCTCCCACTGCATTAATTACTATTAATTAGTCTACCAATGCCAGGGCATTCAGGTTATGAATACAATTTTGTGAATGGCTTCTGTGACCATTTTACACATATATTTAAGTTTCAATGGGATTTGCATTTGATTTCCATGTGGCCTCATTTTTATTTACATTTTACATTTACAGTTTTTTCCTCTCTACACCCACATGTGCTTGCATCATGAACTTAGGCTAATGCTTCATACATCCGAAGAAAGGGACTCTAGTTCAAAAGCTTATACTATAATAAATCTGTTAGTCTTAAAACAACTCTTTGTTGCTTTATCAACAAAACAATGGAATCTTTGGCTAGACAATATGTATAAAAAGAGTAATTAAAAGTAAGGACATTCAGATTGCAACTTTAAGGTGAAGAATAGCCAACAGCATTGTCTGTAAGTATTGTGTGATTGCCTTAATTCCCCAAGGTTTTAAATGTGAGAAACAATGTATTTCAATTAACTTTTCCCTGTTCAGTGTGAGCTTGTCTTATGCAGCCTTGCAGTGCTTGAAGCAGGAGACCAGGAGCTGTGGCCAAAACATGACCATGACAGAATCTAATATAGTCACTACTGAGGACTGGAGTGAGCCCTCCTTTGCACCTTGCCAGAATAGCACTCTGGCCACATTCTCCATTCATACACGGACTGCCAAATTTCCTAAGAATTATCCACATGGTTTCCAGCATTAGCAGGTTTTCTTTGAAAAGTTATAGTTGTGGCATATGGTAATAATTCCAAGTTCCTCTAATCTGAGATGCCAAGTACAGTAAAGCTTCAAAGAGTTAGAATTATAAGATGTGCAGAAGAAAGTTACTTTTATAACCTGAAAGGCAATGCCCTCTCACTTTTCTCCTGAGATCAGTATCCAAGGTTAATCCTATATCGCGTAGACCCTCTGAAATTCATTTCAATGGGTCTACTCTATGTAGCACTAACCTTGGATGCTAGCCTAAGTATTTAACAACTGCAAACTATGCAAAATATCATCTGATAAAGATAGTTGCTAGTGAAAAGACAGAATAACTGCTTTAAATATAATAAAACATGTAAGGAAAAAGTGCCTTGTAATCTTCACTGTTTTTTGTACTTCAAAAAGTAGCTGTACTTTGCTTTTGCACTTACTATACCTGCTGAAATATCTTGTTCTTTTTTATTTGATGTTAATAAATTGGGTTCTTTCTTTCCTGTATATTCTCCAGTTAAGTGAAAGTCCAAGTTATACAGGCTGTCTGAGTTGGATGCTCTTTTACAGAAACTTGGATCATGGGGAGATGAATACACCGCTTGCATGAATGGCGGGCCATCCCAAAACCTCTCCTCAGTCTGAAATTCTGGGCTGCTAAATGCTCCAAATCCTCTTAGAACATTTATAGAGCTCTGCTGGACTGGAACATCTTTATTTGAGCCATGGTACCAAGAATGATTGAAACCCTGTTTTTGCTTCACAAAATTCTTCTTTTTCACATCGTCTACATTTATAACATCTTTATGGTTAGGGGTTTCTAGACTTTGACCTGTTGCTTCTTTCAAAAGGTACCTTCTGCTTTGTGGACAATTTTCAAGGTAAGTATTAGTGTCACTTTGGCTGTACCCAAAATGTGGCATGGTGGCTTGAAAGTTATTATAGGTAGGGTCTCCAAGATAGTGTGGTGTTAGGACTGATGAACTTGTTCTTTCTGCTTCCATATTTTTTAGAATGTTGAGGTACTGCTGCCTCTCTATCCCTGTATTATCATGAAAGGAACAATTTTTTTTGCATGACACTGATGGTACCATTACGTTGTGCCTTGCAGTTGATTTCAGAGGAGTATAAGAAACATTTTGACAATAACTTGGAGAACAACCTTTGTATTTCAGTACTTCACGAAAGCATCCTGAATACTCAGTCAAGGGGCTCTGTCCTTGAAAACTGGATAAAGACTCAGAAATGGGAATGTGAGAGCAAGTGCTGATGGCAAGGTTCATGTTTTCTTCAAGTGGCACCATTTCTTTTAGATACTCTGATTCTTTTGGAGGTTTCAAGGTGTACAATGATGTGATGTCACTAAAGTGCTGAAATGGAAGAAGCAGTTTCAGGTCCATACAGATTTATATAGAAACAGTGAACAAACAGGTATGCATAAAAATGCCATTAAGCACCCAAAGAGAGGTTACTATAGCTTTGCTAACAGGTGGAAAATATTTGTGTGTTAATGCTATAGTGCAAAAAATTCCTATGAGTTGGTAAATAATGCTTCTGATAGTTCATTGAACACTGAGCTGCTGTTCAATGAGAATGGACTGAGCAATAGCTCTAGTGAAATTACAAATTTTAGAAAATTACAATCCAGTAAAATAACCAATGGGCCCTGTCTTGCACTAATAGTGGCAGCACTTAACCTGGCAAATCCAACATAACATCAAGTAAAACAAGAATGGACAATGCATGGTTCTCTAGAAGCTGGCCTGCAAATCCCTTTGGTCATAGCCATCATAGAGAATGGAAGGGGATGATGGGAGCTGCAGCCCAACATCTTGAGGGCTACTTTACTCATCCCTGAAGTAAAGCATTCAAATGAGAATAAAAAGGGGAAGGTGAGAGGCATATATCTTGACAAGCTGTGGCCTCAATTTAACATTCCTTGAGCATAATTAAGACCTGTAATGCAGTGGTAACATCTGGAACTTGGGAACATCTAAGTCATAAATGGACCCGTGTGGGGTATCGGGGCTGCTGATGCTGGTCTGGGGATATCCTTGCCATTCTTTATGATGTTACAGAGACATTAGATGAATTACCGTGTGGCATCCCACTAGTTGAAATGGCTTTTTCATTGCCAACCACACTATAGTAATAATGATTCTTCATTGGACTATATCAGCATTCCAGATACATGGTCCTCTTGGTAAGCAATCTTTTACAAATGGGATTGCAAAGGAAATGCAACTGCTCTAGAGGAGGCTTGTCCTATTTATTTTGCATGAACAGTTTTTGCTACAAGATTAGCATTAGACTCTTATCTACGCCATCATATATGATTAGGACCAAGCTCTTAAAAATGAGCTTAGTCCAAGGCCTCCCTTGTTGTTGTTTCACAAATTCTTCCTATGTGCATATAAATACACACAGGATTGTTTACTGCAGACACTGTGTAACCATATTCAGCCGTATGAATTTACAAGCTGCTTTTCAGTTCTTCACAGTCGACAGATAAACTTTAGACTAACCCTGAGGATGGGGATATCCGGGGGCAGGACATCCCACCACTTTAGTTATGTCCATTTTGTAGGTGAAAGACATACCGATACCCTACACATCTGACCTTTAAAACTTTTTCTGGCACTTCAGGCAGAAGCTCCTGCAGCTGGTCAAAAGTTGCTGACAGAAGCCACTCTATTGAAGGACTTTTCTTTAACATAAGTTGAGCCACCAGAGGGTTCATGCATGGAAATGTAAGCAAGCATGTCTCTGCCTAGAGGTGGAAAACAGAATTAGCTTTGTTGCATTTTCAAGGTTAATTACAGCAGGTGATGTTTAATTTTGTTTTGCATTCCAAAGTAATTACTTCTAAGCAATTTTTGAAGATGGCATATCACCATGAGATTTGCTTACTGCTTCAAATAATCTGGAGTTTGCCCTGGAGAGGATTAGTGGGGCAGAGATGTCTGAAAATGTTACCCAATGGTGAGCAGAACAATTTGCTAGGGTAATTGCAGAAGAACGGTGCACAACAGGCTCCCCAGCCATTTTGCACACCTTTGATAGTTTCAGGAAAGTGGTGTGGGAGCCATCACAAAGTAATTGCCATGAGATAACCCAAAATTTATTACTGCAACAGTCCTGGCATTTCAAATAAAAGCAAACAACCAAAGCTAAAAGATAAGAAATTTAAATGCCAAGCACAGATGGTATCTGAGCTTCACAATACAAAACTACGCCTTTCCACCCACAATTTTTTGTTCCCTTAGACCACCATTTCATTGGGCATGCAATTAATTATCTCAAATAATTCCCCTCTACCAACTCAATCCACGTACCCCCTTTCGCTCTTTCTCTCTGCCTGCCAACTCACCACCCCTCACCCTCTCAGAGAATCACTGCTAGTCAATCCCCTCTGTTGCCAAATCTTTCTCTCTGTTTGCCAGGCAATTGAGTTAGTGCTGCAGCCTTTTTCTCCCAAGATTGCTGGGATAAGCACGTACCCCTTCCCCTCAGGGTCACCACCCAAACTTGCATGCATACCCCAAAACTTACTCTCTTATGATCACCTCCAAACACACACACACACAAATTAAGAATGAGAGAGAGAGAGAGAGAGAGAGAGGGAGAGAGAGAGAGAGAGAGAGAGAGACCGCTTTTCCTAGCAAATGTCCCAGGAAGAAGTAGGGCAGTCTTCCTGGTAAAGTGTCATTAGGGCTTCATTTTCTTCTCATAATGAGGTAAATTAAATTGTGGCACTGGCATATGATTTATTTATTTATTTATTTATATTAGATTTATAGGCTGCTTTTTTCCCAACATACCCAAAGCAGTTTCCAAGGCTGTCTGCCTTGGAAATTAGTGGGCTGCAGTCTTCTTGCTTCTCCAGCACAGCTGCTCATGAATGAGACAGTTGCTTACAATTTTCATGTTACCCTAAGGCACACACATGCAGAGACTACATATGCAGAAACTTATCAGGATGGGCAGCCATTAAAACAAGTCCAAAGATGTCCAAACAAAACAGCAGGTGGTGCTCACACAGATTTCAGGGTCTAAATGGGCTAGATCCACACTCAGTCATGCTTAAAGTAGACCTACTTAAATCAGTGAGACTAGTAAAACATGGTCAACCTCAGTGACATTGGTTTCAGTGGATTTAATCTAAGCATGACTAAGCCTGAATTCAACCCTACTGTCTAATGTCATATAAGCAAATAATAAATGAAATACAATGGAACTGGAACTTATGTAAATGAAAGAAAACCAACTCATTAAACAGACCTCTGATGGCAAGACAGAGAGCCAGGATTTGTCCAGCCATTCCTGAGGATGTCTTTTAGAGATCATTAGAATATGGTCAGCAATCTGACGAACCAAGAGTGCTGTCTCTTCAACCCCTGGTGTAAGAGCAACCTAAAATATTGTTTACTTATACATTTAGAAAGAACATTAAATATACAAAATACAAACACAAAAAGCATAGTAAACACAAAAAGAGTCTTGTGGAAACTTAAAGTCCAAATGCTGCTGCATGTTCACAATTTCAGCCCAAACACAATAAAAGATTGTCTGGTATGCATATTATTTGGTTAACTTCTAAGCTCAACTATTGCAATGTATTATACATTGGCTTCCCTCTGAAATTGATCTGGAACTGGAATTAGTGAGGAGTGTGATATTACCCTGGTGCCATTCCAAGTTATGCTGGCCCCAGCCCATTTCTGGCCCAATTCAAAGAGTGGGTTTCATTTTTAATTAATGAATTAAATAGTACTCTGACCTCTGTACTCCAACATCCTTCCACCCCACACAGGCATCACAGCTGTCATGTGAAGAACAGCACTGGCTGCTTTTCCAAGGACAAGAAATTGACCTCAGGGAATAAAGAGGGTGCTCCAAATGAGCGCATGGACAGACTTGTAACCCCCAGAACAGCTACATGGCTGTTTTCTGCTATCTACCTAATGTGCTTTGGAAGGGGAAGGAAGATGGCTGAAGTACTGTCAGGATACCACATATCCTGGTGACCTCCCTGAAGTGCTCCCCTTTCCTCCTCTCTGAAGTCAATTTCCCAACCTTAGAGAGGTGATTGGTGCAACCCTTTCTGTGCCAGTAGTGAGAGATGGGGATCAGGGAGCAGATTCCCTGCTCTGAGGCTCTGGGAATCCAAATTATCCTATGGCATCCCAGACAATGCCTGGGATCACAGAATCACTCTCTAATTCATGATATTATAAGCCATCTTTTAGGATATATTCCTCATTAAAAAGTTTGCAGCCACTAATAAATGCAGTTTATTATTTATCGTCCATGGCTTTGCATCAGGTTACTGGAAGGACTGCTTATCTCTGTATGTACTTTTCCAGTATGTTAAAAATTTCACATTAGTGGCTGCCGTCAAATGTCCTTACAATCTGAACAGTGGTGGCTCACTACCAGAAAGAAAGTGTTCTCAGCAGTGGCACCCAAGTTTTGGAACATTCTCTTGAGAGATTGACTTGCCACCTACCTTATTATTGCTTCACTACCATTTATTTTTCTTCAGAGCTGACTGGTTTTTTGGGGGTTCTTTTGCAGATGCTGTGGATTTTAGTTTACTATTTTTATATTTACATTTTAATTCTTTTGTCCTTTTTGTATACTACTCTGGGAATATAAAATACCCATAAAGAATAGTAAACACTACAGGAAAGTCCAGACTGAAACCGCAACCACCTAGAAGGTAGTTGCTCTGTGGTCACAGGCAGTGGAAATAAAGCATCCATCAATATCATGGGATGGGAGTAGCCAAGCAGTAATGTTAGGTGACATAGGGCACCTATTGTTTTGCTGAAACAGATGGTCACTTTTGAGGAATAAAAGAAGCAACATTTTCTGCATGCTAACGGCATTCAACAATCTAGCAATTTTACTGGTCAAGCCTATGCATGGCAGAAGCAGGTCCCACTGAATTTACTCTTAAGGATATAACAGTACTAAGCTGTTGCCTTCAACTTTAAAAATAGGTTCAAAAGCAGAAATTGTCTTCACTTCAAATATTCTTCCAGCCTGAATACATCCTATACTTCCTAAACAAATAATTTGAATTTTGTGATTCATATTGTTAGCAAGAAAAGAAAGTATTCTACCATCATTAACACCAGCTAACATTATAGGCATATAGCAAGACAGAAAAGCAAACTGACAGAAATTATGTATCTGGATGGGAATAACTGAGAGGGGAAGCCAAACGAAAAAAAACCAACAGCAGAAAGATAAAGACTACAAAGAGGAAAAGTCAACTGAATACATAAGAAAGAAATACTGAATCAGATCTCTTGCATCCTCTGAGAATCCTCTGTAGCAAATATTTAAAATCTATTTCATTTCCCTGACCACATGAATGACCGTATCTGTTGCTAGTGTAATAATAAAGATTTACTAACAATATGAATTTTTTTTTTGCAACAAGCTACCTTCACTTCAAAGTCTTCTGCCTTCTGAGAAAATGGAACCAAGGCTGCATAAAACAAAGCTAGATGATGCAGAGTCTTTCCAGCCAGGCTATACCTAATCAAACAGCATCTTGTTATTTATTTATTTATTTTCATTTATTTATCAAATTTGTACACCGTCCATTACTTCTGTTATACTTAATTCGATATCTGTGTTCTCAATTAAAAAATACATTGATAAATATTATGTATTCTCTTTATCAATTTAGGAAAAAAGTCTTACTACTCTATAATTACACCTGAATGTGTTGGCTTAGCAAAGAGTAATCCAGCACCCTGAAAATAGATTTTTGTCTTTATAACAGCATACCAGAAACTGACAAGGATGGATTACATGTTTTCCCACACAACTCCCTATGGAAAGAACATTGAAAGCAGGGGAGCAGCACTTCATAGCTATTATGTCCGTAGATCAAGAAAAAAGAACCCATTCCCTTGTTGCTCAAAATCATTTCCATAGCAACTGGACAAGATGTAGCATTTAGGAAGCACACACCTGTTAAACAGTCTACAGCATTGTGCTGAATAACACATTACTTCAAACCACATAGTGTATCCAAAGAATTTTTGAACTTACTTATGACTTAATCTTTCTCTGGAGTATAAAATAACCCAACAGGAGCTGTACTGGAGTGATAGCACCATTAGTCTTAATGCAATAATATCAGAAGACTTTTCATAATTGAGTTCCTCCATGTTCTGCAACAAAAATAGCATAAACATCTGAATTCATATGCAAGACCATAGCTATCACCAGTACTTGGTTGAGCATAGGTACAATTCAATCTCATTTGGCAAATTATTTATTACGTCAGGCTCCACTTTACTTTCTATAAAAATTTAATAATTCAACTACACGATGCTTTTACATTTATATTTCAAATGTCAATCAAATTACACAAAAATCTGTGAGTGTGCCTTAACTGGTCCAAATGTTATTATGAATATTTGAGGACATTCCTAGGGCCAGTAGATGTTCTCTGGTCAGTCACAGAAAAAGGCAGTGTCTCTGCTGAGACTTCTGAAAAAAACCTTCCAAAGTTGCAGTGGGGATTCCACCTTCAGAGGCTCCCTCATTCACCAGTGTGGTTCTGTGGTCCTCACCTTGGGAAAGGCACTGGAATACATTCCAGATGGCAGGGAGAACAGAAGTAAGGAAATAAATCACTGGCTTCTGCCAAATCTAGGCAAAGCTTCAGCACTTTCTTGTGCGGGGGCAGGTTCAGATGGCTGAAATCGACAGTCCAAATGCTTTTGTAGAGTGAGGGGAGAGCAGAAGCCATCCTCACCTTTGTGCTCACCCATGCTCAACTGGATGCCCATAACCTTCCCAGTTTGGAAGGTTATGAGCACCTGCATAGAACTGTGTCCTTAAACACTGTAATCAACCTGTATATAAAATACAGATGTATACAGAGTATGGTTCAAAAACAAATTAAATGCTTGGGTAACAATTATCCAGTTGACCAACTAAAATGTACAGTATATTTAGTAAGCATACAACAAAACAATCCCTACTTAAAAGCAGATTTATTAGACCGATTCTCATTTGTATCTTGTCATATAATTAACTATAAACAACCTTAAACTGCCATAGCGCCTTTCTGTGGATAAGACATTGTAAAGTCTCACTGATACATGAAGTAGTACTTTAAGGCAGATCTTTCATAGTCTTTTTTACCTGCATAACAATAGCAGTGCACTCATCAACAGTGATCACAACGTAACAGTCTGTGCTCCCGAAGAACTGTAATGCTTCACAGCAAGTCCTCTCAATAAATGTAATATTGTACCTGCACAGAGTAACCCTTGTTAGCATTTCAGCAGCTCAACCAAAATATTAGACTTGTGCTCTTCCTATACCTGAGGTCTCAGCGTTATTTTTTATGTTGACCTTTCCTTCCTTATACCACCTGGATCTAGGAATAAATTATTCAGAGTATATTTGGTTCATTTCAATTTCACATATATTCAGATTTTACAGGTAAGTCCATTCCATATGATTTCCACATCAGTATACATTTTTTAAAAGAACCACACAAATTCATATTTTTGTACTCCACTCACCCAAACACACACATCATTTTACACATTACTTTCCCAAACACATGCATTTTTGTATGTGATGTCTGAGTGAGGAACTACACAAATTTTGAAAAAGTGTGGAATCCAAAGGATAACTTCTATTACAAAATAAATATTATTCTGGGATGGGCGAATTAAGTGAAATTACTTAAAAATGCAGACCAAACAAATCTTCCTCTATTCCCTTCTGCGGGGGCTTTGCTTATCTTCTGTATCCCATGCCTGGGCTGAATCACTTGACAGAGGGCTGCGGGACATAACTAACCTAAAGGCAGTAGCCACTTTTTTAAAGGAAGTGGGTTGAATTCTGGTCTGGATGCATTATAAGAGACCTTGTTCCTTATTGACCGTCACATAAAGGTGGGCTTTGTGCTGGACCATTGAGGCTGAGAGAGAATTACAAATAATGATGAGGAAATAGTGGTTGCTCCAGGTCTTAGGGTTGACTGATGGAGGCATACAAAACTAATCTGGTCAGCAGTTTCACTACTTACTTGGACTCCAGTAACTGGAGGATATCTGGGTTGTAGAGAAGTCCCTCAGATGTCAGAAAAACATAGGGAATGTGCAACTTCTGAAAGGCATACCCCAAATTATCTGGCAAAAACTCTTCTAAAGATAAATAATGAAGAGAAAAAGGATAGCATTTCACAAAAAAGGATGGCATTTCTACTTTATAACTATTTATAAATGAATATAATTGGTTAGATTCAGGATCCACCTTTGGTAAGAAGAAGGTCCTTCCATAGCATTTTTATGCATCCACCCCTTTCCCCACACCACAGTTCATCACTTTCAGCAGGGTCTCATGATTCTGTGTAGCATTTTCCAGGGACTGTTATAGAAAGGAGAGAATGGGGAAGTCCACCTGGGTCAAAATAGTTGATACAACTCAAATCTAGAGTGAACCCTTCCTGAGGGTGGAGCTAACTCTGTTTAGTTGGGAAGGGAGGAGATGAATTCAGTTTCGAATCAACTTCTTGGCTGGCTAATTAACTAGAGGTTTTTGTTTTTTTGTTAAGGACCTCTATAATACTCCTTTCGTATCACAATGTGAGGCTGGCTGAACCAACTCTAACACAATAAAGGCTGTAGTTATAAAGCCTCTAGTCTTGATCTGCTCGGAAGGGAAAAGAACAGGGAGAAGGAAGGGAGAGCAGTTTATATTCTTGAGAGCTCTGTAGATCAGCATGAGATGGATGCAAGCTGGATGGATCTCTAAGCTGATGCCTTCTAGATGTGTTGAATTGCAACTCCCAACATTCTCAGCCAACAGGGGCACCAGCTTGGGAAAGGCTGAGCTTGCACATATCTTGCCCATCAGAGATCTTTTTCGATTACACATTCCATTTCCCAAATGCAGAGTGGTTTGGCCATATTTTTAGTAGACTGCGTCTAACCCTAATCAAAACCCTAATTCCACAATTTAGAATTAATTAACTTTTCAAAGTGGAAGGTTTTTCTGATGCTAACAAACAGCTCTTGCACTATGTAGGATTCTGCTGCTAGAAACTCAAGTGTGAACTAGACAGTCCTGGATAAAATCTTACATCAACTATGAATTTATCTAGGTGGATTTAGGCAGGCTGTAGTCTCTCTACAGCCACATCTCTGTAATGTGACTATTATAACACTGATGTACCTTAAAAGGTTGTTGTAATGACTATACAGATACTATGCTGGAAAATTTGCAAGTTGAATAGCATAATATGCACAGCTATTTACCATGACATTTGTTGATTTTATTACCTAGCTTGGCAGATTATCTTGATGTTGTTTGGATATTTGTATGCTATTGTTCATTGTTGTTTAAATATGTTTTACTTATTTATTTTTAAATAGTTTTATATACTGCCCTGCAATTTGACAATGAAAGATGGTATTTACATAGTTAGAATAAATTAATATGAAGTGTTTTAGAAATGTTAACTATAATTATTAAACTACTGGATCAGATCAGAACAGTAACTAGCCCAAAGTAACCCAATGAGATTCATGACTGAGAGGGGCCTAGAACCCAGGTCTCTGGAATCCTAGTCCAGTAGTCTAACCACTATGCCACATTACCTCTGCTTTTACCTTTGTAGAGGTTTGTTACTGAAAAAATGTACAAGGATGGGTGTTGTCTTATTTTCTCTCTTGGAACCAATTCTATAAAGTTAAATTTGTAAGTTTTGTATTTTAAATATTCACACACCAGTTTCAGTTTCTACTGTTTCTGGAACAGCTGTTCTGAAAGTTATGTAAGAAACATTCAAATTTTTGCACTGCTCAATCCAACAGGAATTTTCCACATAGTTATATTCCACCACTACTGAAAAATGAGTCCAGGGAAAATCAGGTCCAATGTGCTGATTGTGTATAACCACACAAGAATATCTTTCCAAACTAAAAATGAAATATAAAAGAAAGTTTTAGTATGATTGCCTTCAATTGCATCCTACAGTCCTTTTCTGTAAGAATTTTAGCATCTTGATCTACTTTTCAATAATAATGGCCAATACCCACCTATTTATTACAGTTTTGCACTCTAGAAAGGTTCCTTTTTCCTCAGAATTCAAATACACAACTGTTAAGCCTGTTTAAAAACAGAGGCATACTGCTAAAGGCTCATCTGCAGTTCTGAAGACAGGCATATAGCCAATAGATCACAAACATGTGTAAGTTTACAGCAGAAAGAGAGAGAGAGAGACAGAGACAGAGAGAGAGACAGAGAGACAGAGAGAGAGAAGCTGGCAGGCAGGCAGGCAGGCAGGCCAACAGCATGTAGTCATTACACTGATATTGTCTTTAATATTTATGCAAACATACTGAGAAATTCTATTCATTACATTTAGTAAGCAAAATTATTAGTAACCTTCTAACACTTCACACTGTGCAATGTGCTTTATGAATAAAGCCGGTGTGCTGTCACAAAAGTTAAGTGACTATCAATTGTATACCAGATGGCTTTTATCTGCCCATTATTTCTACAGTAAGTGGAAGCTGCCTGCTGAATGGTGGAAAAATTTCTACCAGCCCAGTTCTATGTACCTCTGCCCAAAAATAAGCTCTAATGGGGTCAAGGGGACTCATTCTCAGGTAAGTGTATTATAGCAAGGGTGCAGAATCTCCGGTCCAAGGGCAAAAACTGGCCCATCAGGCAACCCAGTCTGGCTTTCAATAAAGACAGTGCACAAAAAGTCTTCAATGGAGCTAAAAGGAAACTAAAAAGTTGATATTTTCACTGCTCCAAGGAACTATAGAAATTCCACAATATTCTAGGAATCTGGGAATCTGACATCCTGATCCAAGAGATTTGGATTAAAATATGAAGATGAGAAGGTAAAGCTAAGGGTAACAATAGCTTCTGGACCCCCATGAAGAATAACATTTACCTTGCACTGTACTGATGGTGTCAATTAGGACAGTGGTTTCTTCATCAATCTCCATTCTAAGCACAATTACTACCTGACACATTATAGAGAAAACAAATTCTGCATGTTTAAATAAAAACAAATCAAACTATACTTGAAATATATAAGATATAACAGTACCTTGAGACATTGTTACAGTATTACCAGTAACAGAGGGATAACCAGAATATTAATTTAGAAGAAATACAGAAGCAGTTTATAAAATGTGGAAAAGTTTAAAAAAAAAAAAGACAATGAATTTCAACTGAGTTGAAGCTCAGTCCTATCTTTGTGTTGCTAGCAGCCCCATATTCCTTTGCTTCAGTATTGGGAGTTTTTGGAGCATCCATTACATCCCACCAATTTCTTTCTGCAAGCAGCCCCACTAATTCTATTGCACATGTGGGGCCTACAACTCATGCAAGGGAGATTCCGCGTTCCCTGGAGGAAGACCTGAAGCAAGTGGAAACTCTCAGTTCAGGAAGGAGGTAAGTCACTGGAGCTTCCCTTTGTGAAATGAGATTTCCAGAAATGAGCTTTTCTGTTTGTTCAAGTTGCCCCATAATACTAAATCTTCCTTGCATAAGTGATGCATCCCATTTGTGCAATACAATCAGTACACTGTACAATAATTCCAACAATAAAACCTAAGTTTTCCTCAAATGCCAGCCTGTATATATTATCTACCTTATTCTGGACAGTCCTATTGCTCTGCATCCATTTGGACATCTGATGGTGCAATTCTGTTATCTTGGGGTTCACTTCGTTTTTCTGTGTGGCAAACTGCACAATTGTCAACTGTCTCCAAATATTATCCAAGCTGGAATGTAGGAAATCTTTATATCTATCTTTTGCCTTCCACAAATATCCTATTTCAAATAAATATTAAACACATACATCACGTTTCACAACATTTTCATGAACAGTACCAGAAATACTACTTTTCTTCTTTTATCAAGAGTTTGATACATTTTGTCTGCAAACATTTTCATTTTTAAAAATTATTTTAGTTTTATAGCTATAGTTATACAACTGCGGAGGTGTGCTGTTCTGCAAGTGCAGAAATAGGGAGGCTCAGCTGAGCAATGTCTTGTGGGGGGGGGGATACCTGTTAACAAAGTGCAACAGGTACCATTCTTGTACATTGACCCAGAAATGCTCCAAGTAGGGTTTTTCTTTGAAGGGTCTGTCAGTGGCTGTCAAAGCAGAGATCATAAAAACTGGCTGTCAAGCTGGAGAAAAAGCTTAGAGACACAAAAGGCATGGTGAGCACAAAAGGGTTTCACGATCAAGGCAGGGGTGAGTAGCCAAACTGCTCTGCCATGGAGTCTCCTGAGGTACAAGTGGACTCAAAGGGAGGGAATTGAGCTGTTCATGCAACAGCCAAACTGCCATGGATTACTGATATGGGGGGTTGGGGTTGGTGTGACATGCAAACATGCCATATCTACAGCTGTGTAGCATGCCTCCAGTCTACAGCTGTGTTTGGAGTTTTGCATGCTATATTTCACTAGAACAATGAAAAGGCAAATTTATGCATAAAACTAACCTAATGCAACGTTCAAGTTACATGTTAAGAGGAGATCACGAACTGTTACCAACAAATGAAGAATAGCAGCATGTCTGAATAGTGTGGTGTCTTTTGCAGCTTTGGTATCTATTTAAAAAGGAGAGGAAAATGCATGAGAAGTATTTAGTAAACATGGGGATGACATTTCTTACCATTCTTTCAGGGACAGAATTCTGTACGTGAGCTTTAAGATGCACTGGTTGTTCTTACACTAGGGAGTTTTAGTGCTACTCAGGCACTGTTCTTCTGCAAACTGTTGGAAGCAGAACTAAATGGTTGTTCCACATATCACCTAATTCAAATCCCTTTAAGCCTGTCCTCACCAGCAGCATATATTGACTAAAAAGTAAGTTCCAGTCAGGAAAAGTTCTGCTTTTGCCTGCTCCTGCCTCTTTAAATATATCTTCATGTTTGTCCCTTCCTTTTACAGCCTTTCCTGCTTTCTGGCCACTGATGCTTTAATGAGTTGCTGCTTCTTCTTCAATTCAGCCCTTGGCATCCTGAAATAGCCCTTTAATTAGAACTTCATGTTCCATGGGAGAGCACTGGAATTATTTGCTTCCTCCTTCAACATTCATTTATTTTATTTTTCATATTCACAATTGCAGTATTTTTATAATAACATGCTTGTAAAGTAATAAGCAATTATTTTGACTGCAACTATGTTTAAAAAAATCACCACATATCTGACAGGAAAAAAGAAGAATAACAACACGGAAAACCAATGGTTTGACAGCAATATCATCTGGATTTTCCCTAAAAATATGAGTGAACAAATGATGCCTATTTCACAGAAGCTACTGATTTTGGAAACAACTTAAGTTAACATCAATGGCCAACCATTGTTTTACTGCCTCCTCCATTCTGCCCTGGGCCACAACCATAGAGTCAGGCCATGGGTTCATTATACAATGTGACCTCTTTTATAGAGGACAGTCCTCCATTTGAAGGACTATCCAGCCCAACCCTGTTTTTAAAAATGAGGAACTTTTCTAAAAAAAGGCTTTAAAACTCACGACTTCTGCTTCTGAATTCTTTTCAGGATTAAGCCTGATTCCACTAGACATATTTTTCTTTCCTGTCTATTGGTGCATCTGTCTAAACCTCCCACATCCACTCCAATTTCTTCAGCACAAAAGTACCTCCACATACAGCAATACCTGTCCTGAACACCTAAGCAGCCTGCACTTATGATGCCTATTCACATTTGTAACTGTACAAAGGGGAGGGGGGGAGAACAAGCTTAGGCCCATGAATATTGAATTGTATTACTTTTTGGTTTTTTTGAGCTATTCCTTGGAGGCTTTTCTAAGTGGAACAGTGGCATAGTAGAACAAAGTGGAATGACAAACTGCACTGGTGGACATTGACAGTTTCAGTCTGGGATTCCAAAATCTATTAAGTCATCCACATTAAAAAAAAAAGCTCCAGGAAAAGTTATCAGACACTGGAGGGTGCTGATGTACCACACTGCCACAAGTGCGGTAAGATGAGCATCCCCCCCCCCCACAAAAATAAAAGTTGCCTGGAAATGCTCAAAGAACCATAAGTAGGGAGAACAGGGATGCTGACATTACCCATTCAGACTTAGCAAAAATAGACTGCTAAGACAGGCCACCTCGTCACAGTCTTCTGAACGCTGACATTGTATTTCTGTTCAAATTACAATAGTAATTTCTAAATTTACATTTATACATTTTAGGCAAATCTGTGTCCTCTTTTGTCACCTTTTATGGCAATTGTATGAGTGGCCACTCTATTCATTAAACTATCTGCATTAACTGGCAGCAGAAATCTTTTCTAGATCTGCTACACAGGATTTTTTAAAACTGGAGGCACCAAGGCAGGTTTATAGCCCAGTTTTCGCATGGGAAGATCTCAGATGCAATCCCTGAATTCTTAGGTTAAAAGGCTCTTGTGTAGGAAGTTCTCAGTAAGAGACTCTCAGTAAGAGTAAAAGGACAATTACCTTTCTCCACTGAATTATAAATTATTACATCTATATGCCTGAGTAATACATCTAACACTTTTAATATTAAAAACAACACATGGCAATTTAAGAATTAAATCTCTTCTTACCAGTCACACCTTGTTGAAAAGTATCACTGATTACTTTCTCTTGCTGTTTTAAAAAAAATCTGGTGTCATCAAAATTAAGGGTGGCAAACCTCCAATTATTCAATCCAAGACTCATGAGTTCTTTTACAATGGGAGCCACTGCTACTTTAAGTATATGATATGCCTGAAGCTGGCTCTCTGGTTAAAAACAAACACACAACATGCAAACCTTAACATAACAGACCACAGTTAAATTATATATATATATATGTCAATGCAAAATGTTTTTATTTTGTAATGTTTTTAAACTGAAGTAGCACACTTATTTTTAACTTCTTATGCTCTGGGGAAGATGAACTTTTTCTTAACAAGCTTCTGTTATATACAAACACTAGGGGGCATCATAGTTTTTTCTAAAACAAATGTGTCTGAAACTAGTCTCATTAAACAGAAAAAAAACAAAAACATAAACAGTTTTATCTTCTTATGTTCAATCTGTTGCTAATTCTAGCCAGTTACTAATTTGTGGCTTTACAATCCAGCCCATCCAGAGGGTACCAGCTTGGGGAGGCTGCTGTAGGCTTAGCCCTACTTCTGAGGCTACACACAATGAGCAGTGTGGACAGCCTCCATGTTTATAGCCTAACGATTTTGCTGCATACAGAATGGCCAGCTGGGCTGAGTTAAGGGCTCTATGCAAATGTTAGTTCAGGGCTCTGTCCACAGGCCTTTCTGCAAAACATAACAATCAAATATTTTGCATGAGATTTGTGGGCATTAGGATGGACAGAATCCTAATTCCCTCATCACATGCAGGGTGCTTCAAGATGAGGCCTCTATAGTACCATTGCTTTGCCTCATTCATACAACCACACAAAGGGTTCAGATGTTACTGTCTTCCACTCTTATGATCCTGTTTTTCCCGTTTCTTTCATCTTTTTCCATATTGCATCCATAGTTTGCTAAGGGAAAAAAGAGAACTGCTTGGCTGATAGCACTGGAAGCTATCCTCTATCTGGACATATACATGGATATGAGACAGAGTCTGCATACAGCTTTTCTTTGAAAATCTAGTAATGCTTGAAAATTCTTTTGACTGCATTCCCACCTTGGGGAGGAATGTCTGGTAAAAACATGCCAATTCTGCAAGAGATATAGTGATGACATGTTTGCCACTTGTTTCTCTATCTCTTTAAATTCATGGCAGCCACAGTTTTTGATCCTCTAACAAAGCATTCACATAGAAAAGTCAGTTTCCTGACACTGGCCAATTTAAGAAATGACCCTTTCAAGATGGGACTACAATATATTACACTACTGGTTTTATAGCTTCTTCAGGGAACACTTTTTACTTGACTTTTCTGTCAAGAAACCCCTTTGCAAATCTGGCACAGAACATCTTGTTTAGTCTTTCTAAGATGTCTAGTCAGTTCACGTAAAGCACATGACATGTGCTTTACTGTTACCCTGTGAGTACCATGTACACCCTAATGCAGCTTTTCTCAAACTGGTGCCTTCAAGATCTTTTTGGACTACAAATCCCAGCATTCCTGACAGAGAGGAGTTGAAATTTGAGACATGTGGAAGGCACCAAATTTGGGAAGGTTGTCCTAGGTCAGGGGTTGGCAACCCGCGGCTCCAGAGCTGCGCATGGCTCTTGAATCCCTCTGCTGCGGCCCCGATGCTCAAAACATGCACGGGTACAGTCGCTGATCTGCCATGGAGGCTCCGAGTTACAAAATACCAGTAGGTGATGATGAGGCATCCACTCAGGAATGCTGCACTAGCCGGTTAAGTAAATTGCCACATTCCTCTGCTATTGTGCAGGGAAAGAGTGGAACAAGGTTCCTGCATGCTCTCATGTTCCACGAAACGAAATGCTGCTGAAAAGATTCTCTTTGTCCAAATGTAATCTTCTTCATCTGAATGTTAAAAGCTGTGCTTGGGACCTGTCACAATTCACATCACTTGACTGTTTACCTGCTACAGTCACAAAACACACCTATATCTGTGACCTGCGCAGGCAGCCGGTGATCCTGCGCCGATTTACTGAGCTGTTTCCCTCAGTAGGCCAACCATGGATAAATCGAAGAAAAGTTTCTGAAGAAAACTGAACATTTAATTGTACCTGGGTAGATTCATTTGCTTTTACTGGGAACGAACTTATGGGGTTTGCTGTTTAATGCATGCAGCCCTTTAGCACTGACTTTGCAGGTAGCTGTTCTCCTATTCAAAATATATGAAAGGAGTCCTACTAGTAATGTAAGATTAAAAATAACAGTTTTTAGTGACTGAACAAGAGCTACAGCTAAATCATAATGAAGATATAGATCTACTTCCTTGTTTTAAGAATATTCTTATAAAAATTCCAGCAACATTATTACATTTGGAGAGGGATGTTTGTTCAATATTTCACCATATTATTTATATTTGTTATATTGCAGAAACTCTACTTACTGTATGAAAGTATCAATTAGTCCCTTTTTTATTCAGGTTGACAGCTGACTGCACCCTCCAGTACACAGGATAAAAGGATGAGGGCACACAGAAGCAGACAGCATTTTTGGCTTGCTGCAGGTGGCATGTTTGGTTTGCTGGAGGTGGATAATTTAAGTTCAGCTTTTTATTTCATAAATACGAGGAGGACTCAAATAGGCATTGACTATTTTATTTGAAAGTAACCTTCAACCCAGCGTCTTTTTTTTTCGGAGTTGAAAATGTTTTTGTTGCATGCAGAAATAAAAATTTGTTTTTTCCATAGCAGTTCATTGATTTCATAAATGCAACACACTATAGTTTTTTTTATACATAGCATAAAGGTAAAAAACGATATATGCAGTATTATCTTCATTTTAGATGTCAAAAGGGTTTTGTGGCTCCCAGTGTTTTCTTTTCTGTGGGAAATGTGTCCAAATGGCTCTTTGAGTGTTAAAGGTTGCCAACCCCTGTCCTAGGTTATATTCAACACCCCTCCGTGGCTGCACGTTGCCATAGGGAAGATTGCTACTAACACACGAACCTTAAGACAAGCTTGGTTTGCCATTCCCAAGCTTCTCACTGAGGAGCATCAGGGTTCACAGGAACAAGCTTTAAAACTACAAGAACATGCCATTCACAATCTTATAATCAGATACCTTAACGAATTCAGTACCTGATGCTTTAATTTCGATGCAGGCTGTTGCTTCATTTTCTTTTTTCTGCTGTTCCATAGGGATGGAAGCATTTAGTACTACAGGACTGTCGTTATTTTCAAATGCTGCACTTTGCTCTTTACTAGCATCCAAACTTTTTACTAGAATCACCAAAAAAAAAAAAAAAAAGGACAAGCTAGAGAATGATTTAGTTCCTTACTGCATAGCTCTAATACTTTATTACTTCAAATTAAGTAGCAACTGAGTAAAAAGCAAAAGACCGTTTGGAGGAAATCTGGGTAGAACTCCTCTTCAGAGCTCTCTGTTCAATGCACAGGTGTTAAGAAATGAGGAGGCAGAGCACCACACAAGCAGGAACATTGGGCCCAACGTGATTTTTATTTATTTATTTATTAAAACATTTTTATGCCGCCCCATTCGCCGAAGCCTCGGGGTGGCTTACAACAATGATCACACCTCCACAAATGTTTAATCCTCACAAGTGCAATCAAAATGCTTATACGTAGCCTTTTCATCCTGCATGTATATCGTTGAAAGCTATATTTGGCTATATTTTTCTCCAACAGGCACACAGAGAAAAATATGTCTGCATGTATCTTGTGAATATTCCCAATGACTACTAGGAAATGCCATTCAGGTAGTAAGTATACGGACAACTTTGTTACAGACCCTTAGTTCCCATCCTAACCCTAACTCACCGCACCACAAAAAAATATGGTTAGAAGCAGCAGTCTTCAACCTTTTTGGACCCGTGGACACATTTGGGAACTTGAGAAACTGCTGTAGGCATCACTGCAAAATGGCATCCATGGAGAATGTGGCTAGTCACATAATGGTTGCAGTGGAGGCTTGGCTAGTCAAAAGAGGTCTGTTCTGTGGAGAGAACTAGAGACCAGAGACTTGGTGGGAGAGAGAAATAGAAAGGCAGAGGGAGAGAGGGGAGAGAGAGAGCAAGGTTAAAGACTGGGAAATGGAGAGAAACAGTAAAATAAAGGGGTGAGTGGAAGGTAAAGCGCAAGTATGAGGCTAGGAAGGGAGAGAAACCGCAAGGAAAGGGTTTGAGAGAAAGAACAAGCCTAGAAGGTAAGACTGATGGGAGCAACAGAGAAAGATGAGGCCTGGAAGCAGCTCTTTCTTTCCCTTTCTGCCCATTGAAAAGCTGGTCAGTGGCAAGTGTAGGAACAGGAAGGAGAGCCTGGCACCCTAATAGTTTCCAAAATAAACAGATAGTTTTAAGGGTCATGGAACAGAGGGCTTTGTGGATTACACTGGAGGAGCCTGCAAGTGCTGAGTGGGGGACCCCATTGTTTGAAGGGTTTCCTGTGGTAGGGGAATGACTGTCAAACCGATCTATGTCTCATGCTGATATGCCTTAAGGCATATCTGCCTCTGACTCCACCTTTTTCAGTTCTCACTGCTTTACATAGCCTTTTCCCAGATGTAGCATTTACTGTTTTTTTCATTTGACAAAGAGAAAATATGATCTTTAGCTGTGACTCTTATAAAAATCTGAGTCACAACAGTGAAGAGGGGTGAATGTAATCTTATGGATTAGAAAAGCTAATTTTTACATGAACATTTCAGAGTAGAAGAGATATTAGAACAATATACAAGGGGAGAAGATGACCTCAGGTTAAAAAAGGAGGTAATTCAATCTCCAGTATAGATTTACAGCCTGGAATTATGATATGTGTGGTTTCTGAAAAAAAGAACTCAACCTACCTTCCTCTTGAACAGCCACATAGTTTGCTTCCTCACTTTGGATGAACACATGTTTAGATCGCAGCATAATAAAGTCGTTCAAAAGGTCAAAATCATTGGTACATTTTTTAGGCAGCTGAAACACAGCAGGTTTTGTCTTTCGTGGTGTACTGTTTGCTTCAAAAGATACCTCCTTGCAACTAGCTGGTGAGTATAATTGATCATTTTTGCCCCCTGCTTTGTTTCCAAAATGCATTGGTTTTGCAGTTTCACTCTTTAGTTGATTTTCAGTAGGTGCAATGTCTCCTATTATAGATGTGATGTATTGTACTGATGTAGTCTCCAAGGGCTGTGCAGGAGATAACTTTTTCTTCTGCGGAGACCAACAAGAATAATTTGTTCCGCTAGAATCAGGAACATCAAAAGAATCCTCTGTAGTGTTCACAAAAGAATTTTTCTCTTCAATCCAGTCTAAAAAGGGGAAAAACATGTTCGTGCTGTGCATATAAATGTTTCCCTATTTCTCTACTAAACATAGCGCACTCAGAAACATAGGACTTCTCTGCATGAGAGTTTTAATCTGCCATGTTACTGGAGGCTTCCCCCATTTATGGAAGGAAAAAAAAATGTATCTTTACATGGACTTCCTCCCCTCAGCTTTAAATTTAAAAAGGAGGTGTTATCTGCAGTAGAGCAGATTTGTGAGTTTTTACACAGTGTTTGTTCCAGTTTGAAATTTAATACCAGACTTTCCTTGCTCCAAAAGATCCTTGTGAAAGTGGCAGTAAAACTCAGGAGAGGTCTTGGAGAGCCACAACTTTGTGAGAAGGCCACGTAAACTTCTGTGAGTGAGGAATCATGGATGCACAATAAATACCTCATGAAAAGAAGTCCCTTAGAATATTATGTAGAGTTATGAGGTTGGATTATGAAGTTATGTAGGTTTAAAAGTTGGCCACAAATTAATTCCAACTTTCCAAGTCACCCAACATGTTGTGTCATGTTCAGTTTGTATACTGTGTGTCTGGCAAATTGAAATTTCTTATAATTATGTAAGAATTATGTACACAGCATTTGTAAGGACCTTTCCACTTATTAGGTTGTATTCAATTAGTGACTATTAAACAAAGAACATTACAGAACATTACAACAAATAGGTATAGAGAAAGTTGCTTCAGAAATTGTTAAAAAATAACTCACCAGAATTTACAGTGTGCATTAGGGAATCCTCTCCTCTCAAGAGTTCTTATTAACTTATGTTATGAAAGGAAACCAGATTTTGATAATTTTGTTGCAATTTTAAGCCATCTTGTTACCCTTTAGGCATTAAATTCTTCAAGAGTGCCAACATTCACACCTTAACCATCCACCCCTGTTCCAAGAGGCCCTTGCCCACTTTCCAGTGAGCTGTTGCTTCTAGTTATACTGCAGCTAAAAGAAACCTCATCAAGTCTTTGTGGATCAGTTGTTTATTCTCTTTAATGGAGATGAATAATAAAGGCAATGCACAACAAAACTGAACTGCTTGTTTTGCTTCTAGCAGCTCTGAGCACAGTCTACCAGAATGTTAGATATACTTGTACACATAGTGTCACTAGGGGAGGAAACTGGAAACTGCCCTGCAAAACCCACTTCCTTCCACATCTGGGAATCTTTCTAAGGAGACATTCACTTCTCTCTCTCCCCTGACTTTCCATGAGGCAACAGATGCCTGGTTGGCTATCTGCCAGTCACATTGATTTCTAAGCTTTACCTGCATGAACCAATCAGTATGTAAAAGTACTGGATGTTTTGTGAGTACTATAAATCCTTTTTCTTGTAACCAGTCAAATCCTAAAGAGCCTTTCTGGCTCCTAGCAGACCAGGTTGTGAACAGCCACACAGCTGGGTAAGTTAGTAGTAAAGCTGCCACATAAGCTAGATGGCCTGGGAGGCCCCTTCTGACTCGCTCTGTTTCTGTGTTTCTATGATATACCAACCCCTTTCCTAACATGGAACACCCTGGACACCTGGCAATTAAACTAGATGTGTATAATAGGACCCTCACCCCAACACCCTGCCCAATTCTCTTTGATCCAGCAATGGAGAGGCTTATACTAGATCAGGTTGCAGAACTATGCTGCCTGGCTGCCTTCCCCTGTTGCATAGGAATTTCCCCTTTCCTCTTCTACCTGATTTCTTTGTTCTTTCCAGAAACAAGTACATTTTCTAAATAGAATAAAGCATATGGGAGTGCTGTCATAAGGTGCACAGGGAACAAGAGAGATGAAGCCAAAGCTCTTCCAGAAACTGGGTTGTAATCTTATGCATATCTACTGCTAAGTAAGTCTCACCTAGGCCTTACAGTCAGCTAAAGTATTGTAATAAGTATTGGAGGAGTTAGGAGTGTGCTACTGCCTACCAGTAAACTGAATCTTCTGTTAAACAACAACAACAAAAATCTTGTTATTCTTGTCACTTGTGAAAAATCCAAAGTACTTACTGTGTAACTGAGAGTGAGTCAGTTTTGAGAATACTTCCACGCTAGTACAAACAGGTCTTTCTCCATCACTTAAATCTATGCTCAGTGCTTCTAAAGTAGATGGGAAAGACATTATCTCCCATAAATTAATCATTCCATCTTCCTCTAAGGTGTTGATCACTGAAATGTCTTCATGTATACAGAGCAATGTTTTCAGTTCTGTAACTGGAAGGTGGTGACATGGAGGTATAGAAGTCTGATGCTCTATGAAAAAAGACAAAATGCAAAACAGGCTATTAATAAAAATAATCTAGTTTTATCTTGGCTTTAGGTGCCTATGTATAGGTGCCTGGCTAGCTGCTGAACAGATTATCAATGCTGGTTACCCATTTGAGACCAGAAAGGTCTGATCCAAACCGTTTTCTGTATTGTCCTACCACATATTACCCACAACAGAGAAAAAATGGAGGTGTAAGATACTTTCCTCCTTCAAAATGTTTGATCAAAGCTGACAAACCACTTGTTCAATGCTGCACTTGAATCTTAATCCCACAGCCCAGGGATGCCAGAGAAGAAACTACATGGACAGCGCTTTCTCCACATTCATAGCACAATTTTACTTGTGCAGAAACCCTTTCTGTGAGGGACAGAAAGTTAGCAAGGCATATATTAGCTTTTCTGAACTGGGATGCATAACAGACTGTCACTGAAATTCTGCAGGAGTGCAGAACCTCTTTCAGCCCAAGGGCTTAACTCCATTTGGGAGAAGCATCCTAGTGATGGGTGGGGGGCAAAATCAAAAGAGGTGGAGCCAAAAGCAAAATACCAGCATATTTTAGCTTAAAACCTTTGTGGCCAGTAACTAAGCCATAGGAGAGGCACCATAAACTATCAGAATGGAGGAGAATGCACGCAAACTGGGAAACCACAAAACAATGGGCTTGAGGGAAGGGGACATGGCCTTCTGCAGAAGCCCAGAGGTCCACATTGCATTCCCAGGCCTAAGACCTATTTATTTTCTACTTATTTCTTTCCAAGTAAGTGCTAATAGGATTGTAGCCTGATCCTGCAATCATAAACGTTCTTACTAAATGTAAGCCCAGCTGAACACAATAGAATTCACATCAAAGTTAACTTGCACTTGACTGCACTTACATTTTACCTTTGAGAAACTGCTTTATTCTTTATTAATACACAGAAGATTTTCAAAAATGTTATCCTGCACTGGTTGTACTGGATATGCCAGAAATTTCTCTTTAGAACATGATTTTTTTAATGAGAAGGAAATACATCTTAGCACATAACTTGGAACAGATGCTCAGCTTGGTATAGTCATGGCACTGATTGTGCTCTTGGGATTTATGGATCTGTGGGGTATGTATTCAGCATTTGAAATAAAGATAAATCTGAATAAGAATCTGAACTGATTTACCTGCAAGAAAAAAGGAATTCATAGGATTTGGGTATTTTTCTGATTGCCACATTAGGTCTTCTAATTGCATTGCAGTGGATTTGGTAATAAAACTGCTAAGGAAAAGAAGAAATAGGAAAAAATAAAATACTTGGGTAGGCAAGTTCTGTGTCTCATTTCCAAACTTGCTTTATATTGGCTGGGCCAGTGTAATATAAAAACACATCATTAGTGACAAGCCATGGTGGATGGACACAATTTGCAAACCCAGGCTATTTTCCACGGGTCGGCTTGTCTGGGGGCAACAAATTACCCCGATAACACATAGCTTCTTCTAAAAGTCCTTGTATCCAAGATGGCTTGTTATGTTTTCCAAACCTCAGTGACTAACCCCACCGTGGGTACTGGGAAGTGGTTAGAGAGCCACTTGGCAAAAGTCTCTTGCTGCTCTTGCAAACTCATCCAGGCCAGCACCAGTGCCACACTTTACGGTGATTGGCACTGGCTGAGTGTCCCCAGCTGTGACTGCAACCTGTTTTTGTATGACAAAGCCTTTTCGGCCCTTTAACCATTTTCCCCTCCACAATTGCTGGCTTGACAGTCAGTGTTCATACTCATTGTTTTGACAGTTCCTTCACAGTTCCCAAGTGGCATCACCAAAATGGCCTGTGCTCACATCCCTAGCAACACCTTCCCAACACAGAACAGCAGGCACTTCAAAATTTAACCCAAATTTTATTTTTAATAAGTGACTTATGTATGAATATTTTTCATGGACTACACACACACAGTTTTGGCTTGGTTTATTCAAACAATCATCACTCCCTTTGTTGCATAAGATGCTATAGCCCAGCTCTGTGACTGTGCATGGCTTTATTGCCATCCCAAAAACATTTTTTTTTTTTTTTGTACTGAGAAACTGTTTGGGTTACTGGAACTTAATTGTACATATTTAATTTTAATGGTGATCCTAAAATCACATATTGCATGTGGTACAAATGCAGGAGTACATTCTGTATGAATTGATGCTTTATAGCATGTTCATTTCATTACATTCAATATATCACATTTCTATCAGTTTGGATCATCAACTTGTTTTATTCCATCACAGGCTTCCACTTGCCTTTTACTAAAGGGAGAAACTGCTTCTGGTTGTAGTTGTGCGTATAGTAAATTCACATGCAGCTTCTCTGATATATTTGGAGGGGTCAATGGTACATCCAGTTCTTCAGGATGAAATGAAGCACGACTTGCTGGAAATTACAGGGAGAGTCAGTATGATAGAAATAAACTTTTCTGTATTAGGAATACACGGCACTGAAATATGAGGTGTGTCCAGAAAGTAATGAGAATGATATTTTTAAAAATATTTTATTGAAAAAAATTACAATTGAACATTGTCTCCTTCAAAGTATGCATCTTGTGAAAATACACAACACTCCCAGTGATTTTTCCATTCTTCATAGCATCCCTGGAAGTCTTCAAGTGGGATAGCGTTCAGAGCCTGCGTAGTGGCTCTTTGGATGTTATCCACACTACCAAAATGGTGTCCTTTCAAACCATTCTTCATCTTTGGGAGTATGAAAAAGTCGCAAGGAGCCAAGTCGGGGCTGAGGCGCGGATGGGCAAGCACCATGATGCGTTTTTCAGCCAAAAACTCTCTGACAGCCAAAGCACTATGACTCGGTGGGTTGTGTGAACAGACCTCACTGCATCCACATTCTGTCTCTTTTTTGACAAAGAAGGGTGTCATGATCGCTGTTTATTCTCAACACCTTATCATCCTTCCTTGAAGGCCTTGTGCCATCGGTACACTTCTGCAGATGATAGTGCAGCTCCTCCATAAGCTTTCCTCACCATTTCCAAAGTTTCTGATGCACTTTTACCCAATTTCACAAAAAAAATTATCACGTACTGCTGCTCCAAACACGCTTGCATTTTTCTTAATATGAGGCACTTGAACAGGGTGTCACATAAAAGAATGTCTCAACACTGACAGGGCTGGAATGAAACTGATCAGTGTTCTAACGTATACCTGACACCGCTTCTCCTTTCAGAGAGCCCTTCTCGAGTGTAGGGACATCATTCTCATTATATTCTGGACACACCTCATACATTTAAAAAGAAGTCTAGCCCATAACAAGGACCCTGCCACAATAACAAAATCACCTCTCCTTGTCCTTTCTAAGAGAATAAGCTGTTACCCAACCCCATCCCTGAAAAAAGTACCGACCAAACTTTCAATCAGATGAACATGCAGAAGACTTTAATCTATTTATTCCATGTATTTATTCTGAAGGCAGACAGATACCAACAGGATAGGTCTGGCAAAGGAAACCAAAAACAGCATACCAGAGCAATCACTATTTGTATCTCCTCCACTTCATACCCTCCATGGTCCTTACGCAGAGCACCAGTGATTCCTAAACTTATTTTCTCTGCCCAGTCCCCTTCAGCAATTCAGGACTAACAGCTACTTTATATGCAGCATTTAACCCAGAGCTTTACTGAGGCTTCTTCAGTTTTCACTGACGGAGACTTGTTCTATATGTCCCTGTATGCTTTATTATGTAACATACAGCAGCACTGGGGTATAGAGTGGAACCACAAAATTACACTATACTTCTATAGCAAATAATGGCAGCATGCAGCAAAATAGCTGAATTTCTTAACTAAAGAAAGCTGTGAAAATAGTTAGAAAACATGGGAGAGGCCCTGGAGGATGACAATGTTATGAAAAGCACTCACAAACTTCTGTGAGTGAGGAAGAGTGTACATAGAATCACAAAAGTGCAATGAATGCCTCGTGTCAAAAAACTCTAAGAAATAAAATCAGATCAACAGAGCTATATGACATTCTCAAAAATATCTTAGCACTGTCTCAAACAGGCCTGTGCTAAGCACCCTACCCAGCTCGTTAAATTCCAGGGCACTTCCGTTCCGACTGGCACCAACTTCCTGTGTGGAACAATAATTTGGAATCTCTATTTTCTCAGGTATAGTTTTCATTTCAAGATCTGAAAAAAAGACATTAACATGCAATCGAAGAATGGTTTTTTCCCATGTAGGATGCATAGAATCCATTTTTAAATATACCAGTTATAAAGAACAGAAATAAAATAATATTTTTTATAAAATAAAAATAAAATAATAAATAAAACTTGGACCATATGAAACCCAAGATTTAGTATCATTATCATTAGCTTACCTTGGCTGATTATTTTAGAGCATTCATTTTCATTGCCTATAGCCTCCAGAGTTACTTGTAATAAGGATTTCAGTACCAAACAGGTGGGAATCTCAGTGTCTAGGTTTATGTCTGCTGTTTTATAGAATTTTAATGGGATAGGAAGTATAAGTACCTAGAAAGAAAAAGAACTGGCATTTTTCCTCAAAATAGTCTCTAGAATTTTGCTTTTAAGTGAATAAAAACCTTTAAACAAAATTTGTGCAGATGATAATGATATAGAATAAGATTAACTGCAGTGGATTGGATCCAAAGTTGCCCCACAAACAGAAAGGCTCCTTCCATTATCAGATAGAAACAGGATCCAGTAGAGCCCCTACTCCCATCTCTGCTGAAAGAAAGGGGGAGACATTTTCATCAATTCTTCCAGCCCGGTACAACCCTCAGTCTCAGCTCACACACTATTCTGTTGTCCCCAGAACCCTCTTGGGTTTCCCATCATCTTCCCACCTGTGGGATCTTGCAAAGCTGCAATCCACACCTCTGAATTCAACCCTGTCTTAAATTATTTGCGAAATTCACAAGTTTTGCTCCAACTCAGAGTAAATCTAATCACCTCAGCACTATGTGCCTTCTAAACCAGCAAAAGGTCCAGAAAAAAATATTTAATTCTTAGATTTATATCCTGCCTTTTTTCTTACAAAGAACTCAAAGTGGCTTACATCATTCTACTGTTCCTGTATTCAATCTTATCTCCACAACAACAATCCTGTGGGGTAGGTTGGGCTGAGAGTCTGTGACTGGCCCAGAGTTGGCTCCATAGCTGAGCAGGAACCAGGTTGCTTAAGTCCCAGTCCCACACTCTTGGTGACTACACCAAAACGGCCAACACTGTTCCTGAACTTTGAGGGCTTTTCTACATAAGCATTTAACCCATTGCTTTACTAAGACTTCTTACTTTCTTCTCCTTGAAGAAGGATAATTACATCCTTTACACATTTTCCCCTTTGGGCAGGGGTCAGCAACCTGCGGCTCCAGAGCCGCATGTGGCTCTTTCATCCCTCTGCTGCGGCTCCCTGTCGCTCAAAACATGTTTCACACCCACCAATGTGCGACACCTGCCTGCATGCGATTTATTGAGCTTTTCAACCCCTGGTAGGCCAACCATGGATAAATCCAAGAAAAGAAAAGTTTCAGAAGAAAACAGAACATTTAATGGTACGTGGGCAGATTGCTTTCACTGCTGATGAGACTGGTTTACCAGTATGCTTAATAAGTGGTGAGAAATTGGCAAACAACAAAAGTCAAATGTTGCAAGACATTTCCACAATAAACACACAGCCTTCGCTGAAAAATATCCAGATGGAGATGAGAGGAAAAAAAGCCATTTCAGAACTGATGCGGAAGGTTGATCTGAGCAAAAATCATAATTTAAGTTTGACTTTTTATTTCATAAATACAAGGAGGACTCAAATAGACATTGAGTATTTTATTTGAAAGTAACCTTCAACCCAGCAACTTTTTTTTCGGAGTTCAAAATGTTTTTGTTGCATGCAGAAATAAAAAATTGTTTTCTGTGTAGCAGTTCATTGATTTCATAAATGCAACATACTATAGTTTTTTTAATACAAAGCATAAAGGTAAAAAATGATATATGCAGTGTTATCTTCATTTTAGATGTCAAAAGGGTTTTGTGGCTCCCGGTGTTTTTTTTTTTCTGTGAGAAACGGATCCAAATGGCTCTTTGAGTGTTTAAGGTTGCCGAGCCCTTCCCTTGGGTATATATTTCTCTGCTTTTCCATATATTTTATTAGGCAAGCACAAGGTGGTGCTATGGCATAGCTGCAGTATAGTGGATCTGTGGCAATTCACAGGGTTCTGTTCCCTTTGCTGCAATTTGAAATTTTATACCAGACCTTCCTTGCTCTACAAACACTCATGAAAAAGGCTGTACAACAAGGAAGAGGCACTGGAGGAGGAGGTTATGAAAAAGCCCCACAAACTTTTGTGAATGAGGGGTCACTAGTGCACAATAAATGCCTTGTGTAGCAAAGTGCACAGAGGCAGCATAACCATGTCATGAAGCTGAACATGATCAGCAGCTGCTTGTTGTACAGAGAATTTGCATTTGTTAGCACATGTGAGCTCACTGGCTTTTTACAAGCTCTACATCTGTAAGCTTTGCTCAACAAAGGATGAGCAAAGGGAGACAGGAGAGGCCCAGACTTACGGTAATTTCAATTTTGTAAACAAGGAGCAAGGACTAATCTATGCAATGGTTTCTTAATGTTGCTCTAGCATCTTGTGTGCACAAAGGCACACCGCAACCTTTTGTAATGATGCTATTTCCTTCTCACAGCATCCTGTGGTTTCCAAGCCAAATATGATGGGGGGTTTTTGGTTCTCAAGGTTTCATATATTACAGAGATGTGTTCCAACCTAGAGGATTATAAGTCATACTGGAAAGAGTAGCTTTAAAGCTATAGAAACTGTTTTGCAATATTTTCCCCACCTTCTTTCCCCTTCCTTTTATATCTTCCTCCTTCTTTCATTCTCAGTTCTCCCCATAGACTGATTTTAGAGGGTTTGGAGGCAGGAAAAAGCAAACAAAAAACAAACATACACCAAAAATGGCACCATGGCTTTCCACCTTCATTCTTCACCCATATTTCTCCCCCTCTTCTATTTTTGAAATTATTTTTTTGACTACAGATGTATGATGCTGAGAATGTGCGATTAAACCACATGATTTATTTTTAAACTGCCATTGCTGTGCATAATCAAAGGTGTGCATGGAATCAGTGGAAATAAAGAAAATAAAATAAACATCACAAATGCAAAGAGAAAAAGGAAACTCTGGTATATCATGCCCTCCCATTTCCCCTGTATACTAAGCCCTGTATCATGGACTTGCATGACAAATACAAATGATAAAACAAACCTGACCTTTCAAACTGTTCCTGCTTCTCCTGAAATTAGAACACTATGCACTTGCATGTGGCACTTGATTGTGTTATAAATACAACACGATGTGCTATATTTCTTTGCATGTGTTCTCAGGAAACATTGCATTTTGAAAAAAATGTGCCTCCGGAATACAGTGCAGATCCTCCCATAATTATTGCATATAGTATGCTTGATTCACTAAAGTACTTCACATACCTCTTCTTCCTCTAAAGAAACTTTGCAAAAATCTTCATGTAGTTGTTTCTCTTTGGATTGAGGTGTCACACTTCTTTCAAAAGTAAAGCATTCTCTTGAAAAAAAAACCAAACAAACCATCAGTTAATTCTTTCTAAACAGCCAATTTATGGTTTAACAAAAACAAAGACATTTACACTTGCAAAACCAGTTAAACTTTCTACACTGATGTTTATATTCAACAGAAGCATCCATTATTGGCAATTTTATAAAACTTGGTATGGGTAGCAGAGATCAACTGGATACGATTATGCTTAAATGCTGCAAGTTTTGGAGGGGGAAATGGTCCAAAATTATAATTCACTCAGGATTAATATTCTTCAGGGAAAACAGTATTGGTAAATAGGCAATGAATATGAAGACTTATAGGAAAAGACTTATTTCCACAATGATTTACTGCCAAAATTCCAAAGTTGGCATAACATATCCATGTAACACAGTATCTGTATTCTGTAATGTATTAAAAGAAGCGTTAATTTGAATAATCTAGAAAACAGTTTAAAAACATAAACTGGCAGTAGGTGAGGGTAGAACCAGGTACAAAAGAGTGAAATGGTGCTGAAAATTTAATAAAACAGTAAAGTGCCCAACACATTTCATTAGAAACCTTCCTCAAGGGCAAAGGAATTCAGAATGTTGAATTCTGAATATTGAGTAAAGTAACATCTCTCTCGTACAACAAATCTATGTTATTGTATAGTAAAGAAAAATAGCTGAGATGACACTTAAGTTATACCTCATACTAATTTTGACTGGATAAAAAAAAACATTCACTATTGCAGTACAATAAATCCCTTCACCCATGGTGCCCCCCCACCCCCGGATCTTAGGCAAAGCTTCACTCTCAGAGATATTTTTCCAACTCTGGAGCCCTCTGTCTGTTCCCTCCTGATCACTGTGGAAGTTTTCAGAATGGTTTCCTGTATAAGGTTGTGACCCTGACTTTATGGGAAGAAAGGAAGAAGCATGCTAGAGGTGTCCAGTGTGTAGAGAGGGAGCAGTATAGATTCAAAGGATCTACAGCCTTCTCAGCTGACAAGACCTAACATCAAGCCGATTTTAAACCAGCTCTGAGTCTGGCCCAAGTGATTTTCCTCTCATTGCTCATAGCGAGAGGGAATGTTTTTATACAGTTGAAAAAATACAGAGCAATATGGGAGAATCCCTATTACAGTGTAATAGGGCTGTGGGACAGAATCTAGATGGTAATAGGATAATTCAGAAAATCCATAGGAAGCTTGCTGTATGGTTAGAGCTGGGACTCCTAACTGGGGATGCCCTTCCCCCAGCTTTATAGTTGGCGTGAAAAGAATTGTGTTGGGTGCAGCTTTGAGATCACAACAGGTACCTTGGGGACAGGCTTTTAGAGACAGGGCAGAGGAGACAGAGTTTGCCAACATACACAGCACCCTGATGTTCTGAAGCTTCTCTCCTGAATGGCCAAAATCGGCCACATAAGTGTCTTGCATGGCAGGAGGAGTGTGAAGGTGATGCGTAGAATGCCCAAAATTCACCAAGTTTGCAGGGTTATGGGAGCCTTACTGGATTGCACTTCAGGGTGCTCCTGCTTCTGATGCATTTAAGCCTCCAGATGTAAAGACCTTGGAGGTACAGCGATGATGATTTCCACTGCCACTATGCTACGCAACCTGATTTTTACCTAAGCAACCCTTTTCAGCCGTCTAGATAAGATGCCAAGAAAGGAGATGGAGGTAAGCTGGGACACCAAGAGAAATTGGTATATGTATCAGACCGAGCTTCTTCCCCTTTCCACATTGACATATTGCTTTTTCTCCTTCTGAGGTACATTTGTGATCTTTGTGGAGGCACCTGGCCCAGCTCTTCTCGTGCTCACTGCAAGGGGTAGGTAGATTAAGGCTCTGCCTTCAGAGTCCCAACTCTGAGATCTTATGATCTTAGAGCTGGGCCTCCAAACAATCCTGTTGTTCCCACCACCCGCACACAATCCTGGGAAGCAAAACGATCATGTCCATAATCGCTGGAAGCATGGTATGGCAGTTAGAGAGTTCGACTGCAATTTGAGGGATCTGAGTTCTAGTGCCCATTAGGCATGAAGATCACGGGATGATTCGGGCCAGTCACAGACTCCCACCCGAACCTACCTCACAGTATTGTAGTTGTAAGGATAAAAATGGCATTGAGGAAAACTATGTAAGCTGCCTTGGGTTCCTTGCAAGAAGAAAAAAAAAGCCAGATATAAATGCAATGTAATAATATTTTCCTTCCTCTGTTTTCTATCGGCACTCCAGTCTGTTCATTTGTTCAGAGTAAACAATATACATTCTGAAAGCAGTTTTAATTTTGAATCTGTTCAAGTCAGTTGTAGTTTTAGCCACTGCATTTAATTAAGCTGCAGCATGAATTCTTTAACAGTGCAAATCTTTGCAGCTCTACTTAGAAGTCTCACAGAGTTTAATGGGATTTACTCCTGGGTTAGTGCATATAGGATTGCAATCTAAGCAACGGCAAGTTATGATCCAGTCAAAAGCACACCTCTTCTTTTCCATGGAAACAAGTTAATGGCCAATTAATGGTAAGCTAGGATTCTGGAAAATTCTGACTAGCCATAAAGGAGCTGCATATTAGCACATACAGCATTTTCATTTCCATTAGCATGGGTGTCTTGAAATAAAACATGCATGGTTTATTAGAGCTCATTCCAATGTTTGGTAAGACAGAAAAAAGTCCGGCAACTACTAAGGCAGCTAGCTGGTATATACTGGGAATTGTGGGACTTCTGTCTGACTATGCATAGGACCGTGCACCTTGCGTGTTGCCCAAATCTGAGATGCTATCTTGTTGCTCCCAGATGATCTACAGTATCATAAACAAATGTTATCTTATGGATCATGCTGTGTTTTGGAACAAAAGGGATCCCTGGTTCTGATGTCAACTAAATAAGGAATTGCTGGACTTTTTTAGACATTCACACTTGCAGGAGAGGCCAAGCAGGAGCAAACATTCACAGTTCTATACAAAAATAAAATTAAGTATACCCTAAAACCTATTTCATTTAAAGGGGCTTAAGTTTGGCAGGGTCATATACTATATATGTACTCAACAATATGCACAAAAACAATTATGGTCATATATTAAGATAGTATGCATAAGCAGTGCATACTGAACACCACTGCGTTACATAGTACCTGAAGATATCCTCTTCTGTGATAGTATCGCCTTTGGAATTCGAAAAGGGATCCTGTATGTGGAAAATGTTTAGTCGGCTCAACAGCATTTGCAGAGTAGGTAGCCATTTACCATACTGTACCAAATTATCCACAAAAACAAATTCATCCTCAATATATAAACCTTGCAAGAAATGGAAAAGCAAATTACAATACAGTTGAATGGTGAAGGTGGATCAAAGTTGTTGAAAACATCTGGAAGCTGCCCACCCCTGAAATAAAGCACAACTAACTTCAGCTACAATCCTCTACACATTTACCAGGGAATAAGCAACATTCAGCATAATGGGATTTACTGCTAAGTAGCCATGGATAGGATTGTGTGATTAGCCACTGCATCCAGCCCTATGGCCAACAGATTCATATGGCACAAGTCACTTGCATGATTTTTTCTTTTTGCGCGCTCTCTCTCTCTCTCTCTCTCTCTCTCTCTCTCTCTCTCTCTCTCTCTCATAACTCTGCTATATGTACACATTTCCCTTTGGCATATTTCCTTTTTAAAAAGTAACAAGAAACAACATTTTTAAAATTCTTAAACTCAATCTGTGGTGCCTTTATGTAGAATGTTGGGACAGAAGTCCAGAGCTTCAGTTTACAAAATAACCAAGGCCCCGAGGTAAAGCAGGATTCCCAAATTTTGAAGTCAGTGAAATAATGCCAGTACCAGAGCAGAGTGGAATGGCACCATTGAAAAGAAATAATCACAACAGTGACTCTTGTAGAAAGGGTTGGGATCATCTGAGGACAGGTAATGCCTACATTCGTGTACCCTAAAGAACCTTTAAGGAAGTGAGTGTGAAGTATGTCTCCAATTTTAACTTGAGGTTTGGGGGAACATCTGCCTCAGAAATAAACTAAGGCAAAACCGGGACTGGATTTATTCTTTAAAGAACAAAACTATAATATAAAATATAATATACATGAATGCTATAACAGACATGCAATTTTACAATATACATGAATATTAATCCAGCCTTGAATTTAGCCAGTTCCTTGTCCTGGGCAATTTCCCAGCTTTTTAGCCACATATGGATAAGTAGTTTATCTAAACATGTTTTTTTTGTTTTGTTTTTTTGTATCCAAGTGTCATTTTGCTCTGCACTGATAGGTGTGAAGTACAGAATGTGTCTTTACCTTCTTCTTGGTCTTTAAGTGCTACTGGAACATAATTAGAGTGCAGTTCATTGGCACAAGAAATGTCTGCCCTTTCGGTGTCTTTCATAAGCACACAGGCATCTTTTATATCCAACTGTGAACAAGGATTTGAACTTGGAACAATTTCGACATCTTCATTATGAATATGGTAGAGAGTGCTTGAAATGGGTTTCCTAAGTGGAGTACAGATTATTTTAGTACATGAAAGAAAAACAATTCATGGATAAAAGAATTTATCCCCCATCCCCAAAGCTACTAGGCCTAACCTCGGAGTGGCTCAACTCTTGGCTATGACCTTAATTTGGTGTAGGTGTTGAAGCTGGAAACATTTGAAGGGCACAAGGTGGGAGAAAGCTAATTTAGAGTGTTTCTGGTAGTGGAAGTGGTGTGCTGTCTCTCAGAATCGAACTCTCTTGAGTCAGCTTAGGAGTTTAACTTGTGAAAAGGACAGATCAGATATTTTCTATTTTTCACAAAACATAATGTGTGGTTTTAAAGATTCAAGTAGTCTTTCACAGAGTAGGCTTCCTTTGGAAATTCCAAGAAAACATGTTACAGCAAGGATTTTTTTCATTGTGTCCATAAGTGTTGTGATACTAACAATAAGAAAACTGTTTTCTAATTATTTATAAAGTGCAAAGCCCTCTGTAACCTTGAACCTGTTTTTCCTTGCGACACCTGATATATTATTATTTTTTGCTTTTACAGTTTGGGCATTGAGGCTTGGTTACTGAGGAATGATGTTTGAACTTGCATCTCACAAGCCAAGATACATTACTGTATTTATTCACTCCCCATGCAGATAATACGGTAATAATTTTAACTCTTATATTTGCAGCTATTGACTCTTATGTTTATAGTAATTTAAACACGCTATTTACTTGTGCATAAATATTGTTGGTTTTCTGGACCAGGACTACTGTTAGGCAGAATGAGGTGGGTACCTCCAATGGCAGTTGCTGGGGTCAGTGGTTGCAGTCCCCTGACTATTCCTCTATGTTTGAGAAAACAGTTGTGTGTGTCACACAGGCTATCATAGCCCCACTAAACCAGGTGTGGTGCAAGACACTAGCTCCTCACCAATATTGAAGTAAGGTTCAACTGGCAGTTCAGCTGGCCCACATTCTGCAAATGGAACTGGAGAGGGGACACCATCTTTGCTTCATGTGGAAAATGTCCTGGCTGGCCTGCTGGTTTCCATTTTTCCTACTAAGTAAATGGAGGTTTATTTGGAACTTTTTATGTTGCAAACATAAGAGGACTTACTTCTCCAAGAAATCTTCTATGGAGAGACAGTTCTTCCAAAGATCAAGCACAGAAATATTCATCATAATTTGAGCAGAGTCAGTTGAAACTAAAACAGAAAAAAAATAGAAAACTGAAATAGTTCAGAAAAAACAATGTGAATTCCATTTCTTCCTTTCCCCTCCACCAGGAAGAGGAATTCTACTAGATGGAAATAGACATTGCATCAAGCATGGTGAAAGGAATCCTAGGGGATCCAAGTGTTAGTCCCCATTTGGCCATGTAAAGTAGCTAATGCATTTTTTGTCAAAGAAGGCTGTTTTTAACATATTATTTTTAATCCCTTGCTGGTTTTAGCTTTTACAGTTCAGCACTCCACAATCTATCTGTTAAGACCTTTTTATTTAATCAATATTTTAACAAGTTTTAATATTGAATTTTATTACCATATTTTATTTGCAGCCAGAGAGGGTCATTAATTTATTTATGTTATACTGTTATGTATTGGAATTTTATTTGTGTAAGTCATCCTGAGGCTCTCACAAAAGATGACATACAAACAATATATATATATATATGGAGTGGTATACAAATAATGACTTTCTGAAAGTGGTTTGAGTTCCACATTAATGTTCTCTTGCACTCAAAATTGCATGTTTTAGAATATAAATTAAACACTAAAGCTAAAAACAACATACCTCTTGTCCAGGGTCTTCTATATTTGTCATCAGCAAAGCTTCCATTATGAGAATAATTTTTATCTTGGTATAAGCAGGAAGGGATGTGAATTGATAATGATTCAAAGAGCATTTTCTGTCTAGTCACTCTCTGCACAAGAAAAGTGTACCACAGGTTTATGAGTGACACTGTTTCAACTTTATTAAGTATTAATTAATTCCTTGTGTCCCTCATAGCCATGCAAACATGCTTAGGTTGCTACTGCAAGTCCTGTCCATTGGAATTGCTTAATAATTGTATTAGGAGTTCTAGTTCCCTTTTCCAGAGTACACAGTAATTTTGTTTGCCTGCATATTTTAGGTCTACTTTATCATGTGTAGAAACTCAGACCCATCTCCTAATTTTCTTCTAAAACCCAAGTTCCTGTGATTTCAGTGGAAAAGATTTGCAGCAATCCTATGCATCTTTACCTGAAAATTATGACCAGCTTTCTTCAATGGTATTTACATCTTATTGTGTTTAGGATTGCATCTAAAGTACATGCTAAACCATCCAGTCAAATTTTATACAATTTTCTTAATCTTTGTTGGATTATGCCAAATATTTACTTTTTAAGAAAATCAACACTATTTTGTGCACATTAAACAGATAAATGGAGATGCCTTCTGAAATCACAAGCAATAATGCCTTCTGCAAAAATGGGCAATAAAACTCTTCATGTTATGTCACAACATATTCTGAGACTGAGAAGCACAGTTGAAACAAGTTTTTAAAAAGTATTAGAAATTCTGTACATTGTTAGATTTTCTAAATGAAGCAATGAGGAAATTAAAACTTTGCAATACTGTCAAAATAATTTTAAAAACCGAAGCACAATTTAATCACTTGCTATTTAAAAAGTTGTTTATACTTTTGGATGTATCTATTTCTATCACTTCTGAAACAGCAAGAAATGTACAGCATTGATGTTGTACCTCATATAGATAGTCTACAGCATGGTACTTCAAGGAGGAAAACATATTTCCCGTTTTCTGGTATATTCAAAAGTTTTGTTAGCTGAAACAGAAGTAAGATAATGCAAAACACATTTACTTATTTTCAGTGCTTATATATTGACCAGTCAACATGATCCTCTAGGTGGTTTATGAAACAGATGTAAAACATTAGCCTTCCAACAGTCTCTTGTCTGAGATTTGAAAGCCACTGTGATGTACTTGTTAGCGTTAGATGGGGGGTGACCTAGGAGATCTGGGCTCTAGTCTCCACTCAGCCATGAAGATCACTGCCTAACCCACCTCCCAGAATAAAATGGAGTGAAAGGTGATTATGAAAGACACTTTGGGTTCCTTTCAAGAGGCAAACAGGAGGGGTGTAACTGCAATATGTTTTTTAAAAACGTTAGCCAGTGCAAAATTATTATACCTTATTTTAATTCTACACCACCCAATGGTTGAAGCTGTCTGGGGAGTTTACAATAGTTTCTAAAACAGGACTGTAATAAAGCAAAAAAACAGTTTTCCCAAAGTATACAATTTTAAATTATATATGCAAAAGGGACCTACCTGTAGTGAGAACAAATGAGGTATTTGTAGTAATATTTGTGGGATATAGGGAGACTTATTTTGAATTACATAGGCTGGAAAAGTTTGACTCTTCCCTGCCCCGTTATAATTCTGATAACAATCACTCTCCCTATCAAACAGGTGCTGCAATTAACATGTTAGAGAACAAGCTTGGAATGCAAAGCACATAAAGTGAGTGCATTCATACATAATGCTAAGTAATTCTGCAGTAACTACACTTCATGGGATCTTTGTGTCCTGAGTTCAGACAGGTACTTAGCTTCATGCATGCCTTGTTTCCATGCTTCTCCATCTTCCCTTCTAATGGTGGCATGTATTCTATTAGCCCCTGGGCATCTGTCCAGGAAAGTTTTCCTTGCTGTTGCTGGAAGTTTTCCAGCAAACTGTTAGGAGAGTGTTTGTCCCACAGCTGGTGGAGATGGGGAGAGGCAGCAGGGCTTGTTCAGAGTCCTTAGAAATGTCAGGGACAACATAGCAGTCTAGGACAGAAGAATGGGTGGAGACCTGGGCTTCTCAGAGCAATCTCCCTGATGGTAATGCCTCCACAAAGCCCATGTGCTCCTCATGGGTAAGGCCACTGGTTCCTAGAGCAGCACAAGCACGCCTGCATTTCCAAGCACTGCTCCAGCAAAGTGCAGCAACCAGACTGGGTGCCAAGTACAGCTGCTTCTACGGTTGCTGCTGTGGGAATCAGAGCTGCTGGGATTCTACAGCCTTGGCCGGGCATTGGGAAGGCAGCACAAGGACAGAGAAAAAAGTGGCGCAGAGCAACCAAGCCGAGTATGGCAGGCTCCAACACAGCTAATCATAGCCACAGCCACTCTTGTTGCCAGACTCTGTGGCAGAAAGATAGAAACCATGTGGAAACATTGTATAACTGGGTTCAGACAGTAAACCAAGCCATGATGAAGCATGGAAAACTGACAAGCTGTTGTTTCTCTGTACTTCCACCATGGCTTGTTGTTAGGTGTGAACCCACCTTGTGAGTGTGTGTGGGTGGGGGAGGTGTTTCTGCTGTCATTTTCAAGACAGTGGTAATGGAAGGAAGGTTTTGTTGTTTTCATTTACTGTCAAGTGCTCTCTAAATTATGGTGACTGTATAAATGATAGTCCTCCAAAATGTCTTCTTGACAGCGAGGCAAAGCTTTTGTAAATTCAAGGCTGCAGCTTCCTTAAGCCTTAAATGAATTCAAAAGAGGCACCCACCCCAAATTAGTTACTATCAGATTTTTAAAAACACGCACCTCACATAATACTATAGGCAACTCATCTAACATTGTATATAATTAGGCCCCGTTAATGTTATTTATCATTATATTTATATCCTATCTTTTACCCTCTTGCAAGGTACCCCAGGCCACTTATCTGGCCTTCTTTCTTGCTATTTTACCCTCATAACAAGCCTGTGAGGTAGGTTGGGTTGAGAGTAAATGGCTGGCCCAAAGCCACCCAGTGAGCTGCATGGCTGAGTGGGGACTAGGCCTGAGATTGCTCCATCCCATTCCAGCACTCTAACTACTGTACTTCACTGTCTTTAAAACCAATCAATCAGTCTGGTCAGAAGTCTTACATACTTCTGCAAGAATGTTCTGTAGGAAAATGTGCTACATCATGCAGTTGAGTTGGCTTTATAATAGCTACCCTGTTGCTTCACATTTCTGTCAGAGAGGACCTGCAGGGATATTGCACCCTGCTTTCGACTCTGTTTCACAGAGTTTGAGTTGTCTTCTAAAGGAGAGTGGACTAAGGCACCCTCCTGACATGTCCACAGAAAACCTCTCACTAACATAGTAAAGAAATGAAAAGTTACAGTACTCTTGTTCAGTGGCATTCTTATGAACACTGCTTAAATAAGCACTTTCCTCCAGCAAAAAAATCCTTGTCCATTGGGGTGGGGGAGGGTACAAACCCTAAATCTATCAGAGCCCTTTAGCTTTGCCTCTGTGAGGCCTTCCTTCTCCTTGTGTAGCCTGGCCTTGTTCTGGTCACAAGAACAGCACTGTTCCTGCTTTCCTCTAAGAGCTCTCTCTCTTTTATTCACAGATGGCGGGAAATGTCTCTGCACTCACAGGAATGAAAACAGAGGGGAAACAACTATCTGTGTTTGGGGTGCTTTATATAACATACTTAAGCACAGCCCAAGAGGGTGGGTTAAACAGGCAAGGGGTGGAGGGAGTGCCTTTTCTTTTCAGCTGACTAGAAGACCAAGGGAGGGCTGCTCCATCCGAAGGCTCGCTCACATGCATACATACCCAAGGCGGGGCTGGAAGCAGCAGCAGCCATTTTATTGTTGGCTGTGTTAATCAGGGGGCAAAGGCCTAGGCTAGGCTGGAGTAGGAGCCAGCTCTGCATGATTTAAAAGTGAAGAAGTAATTGGCTCTTTTGCTTAAAGATACTGGAGGAAACACACTTGCTCCATCGTACATGTTCAATACCTCGAAATGAATCCAACCAGCTCTGCAGTAGATGAAAAGGTAAGCATGCATTCATGTTCCTTTAGAGACACCATTCAGCCCAGTACTTATGTGGGCAGGATGCCTTCTTTGGTGCAGCAGAGGGCAACTTGTAGACTTCCAGGTGTTTTTGCTCACAACTGCCAGTAGACCTACAGATTATAGCCCATGGTGAAGGATCATGGAAGATGTAATACAAAACATCTGGAGGGCTACAAGTTGTCCAGCCTTATTCCAGTGCAGGGGTGGACAGGCTAGCTCAACAAAGAGTGACATAGGGTAAATGTCAGGTGTTTGAGAGCCACAAGTGGGCACCCATGGGCAGTGGTGGCAGATGGCAAGCGGCAAACTGCGAAATAAACTTAGAAGAGCCACATGCTGTTCTCAAGCTTGTTTGGCCAGCCCTGTTGTAGTGCCTATGGAGGAAAGATGCATCCAGCCAATTACTGAAGCCTGTACTTCTGGGTTCCTTCTGAGGCTAAAACTGGCTCTCTTACCTTCCTGCCCCTCTAGCCAGGAGTTTCTTGTTCTGTGACCTTCTGTATGTTCTATCACACAGTCACTAGGTAGCACTATAGTATACCAGAATAACACAAATACATAAGTGTGTCATCAAACCATTTCAAAATACTACCACACTTCCCTAAATCTTAAAAGAGCTACAGAAATGTTCACAAAGAACAAACAGTTCCAAGACAGTGATGACATTGTATAAAACACCCACAAACTGAGTGAGGAACCAGGAATGCCTTGCTCAGAGGAGCTGGTAGAAAAGGTAAAAACAATAAAACAAATTTTGGAATTTTGTTACCTTACCGTATAAAGCTCACTTACCTAATAGAAGCCTACCCTTGTCAGTAGGTTGTCTGGAACTCTGTTTTTAACTTGCCTTTAAAAATCTGTGCTATATTTTGTTGCATTGTACACTAAACTTAATTCTATCTTGCCACTGTTTTGCTAGCGGCCAACCAACCCTATACCCATGATACACTTACATGGGTGGCTGTAACACCTGCCCCCAAAGCAGGGGAAATTGTTTGATGGAAAACTGGTCATGCATCTGATGAAGTGGATTCCACCCTGTGAAAGCTTGTTCTGACAGGAAAGCTTGTTAACCTTTTAGATATTACCAAACTCTTGTTATTTCCTTTTTATCAGCATATTTACTCATTTGATTTCCCTGACAGCCTTCCACATCCAGCCTGGTGACAGGGTAGCAAGAAATTGTTCCAGGGACTGCTTGCATTTTGCTTATCTATTGATGAGAAAAAAGTACTTTAAGGTATACACATGAAAAAGCTTGATATACAGATGTTTAGAAAAGTTTACAGATGTAGGATTAATTAGCAAATTTGGAGTAAGAAGTGTATGATTCAGACTAGGTTGAAAGGTGTATGTGTAAGCTTTTTTGTATTTTTTTTAATAATTGTGAATTAAGACTGTTAGCTCTAATTTTTGAGACAGCGAATAAGATTAGCAATGAGGTAATTTATCCACCAAAAGGAATAAATAAAGGCTTGTTTTTTTGTTTTGAAAAGAAAGCTCTTATTAGCTCACTAGATCTGTGTACCTGTTGACTAAATAGCCTAGATGAGGTTCTTGATATGAGAACACCTTAAGCTTTAGAAGTCTAACAACAAGAAATATTTAGAACATACCATTCCATGTTGAGTTAGAAGATAAAATCATCTTTAGAAAAAGTCTGTTTTAACACGTAAAATATGTTAAGTGAGTTAGATTTGATATGATGCTGCAAGCATATTTCTAATATATATTAATGGATAATTTTAACCTTTACTAGATTTTATTAAGACAAAACCAGATGAGAGTCCATTTAGAATGATTTTGGGTTTATTAATTCTGAAGTGTGTTGATCTCCTATGGGTGCTTGACAGCCAAAGGCTTCCTTAATATTGGAACTATAGTTTGAAAACACTCAGCAAAGGCCAGTTCTGTAATGTGTGATCTGCACAGAAAAGGACACTAAGAAAAATAAATTATATATAAACATTTTTGTTTGATGAGGCCATTATTTCTTTCCATTTCTTTTTCTCTGCTGAAGAAACATTCAGTCTGCACTCATAGCAAAACAGTCCACTGTAATAGTGGCCCACATTCAGAGCAGGCTTAACATGACGACCAAGGACAGCTGCCAGATGGGAGGTGGCTTGAGGCCTGCTGGTGGAGTCTGCAACAGTGTTCAAGGTGAATAGCAATGGAGTTGGATGTTCGATGTCCCACACCAATCTCAAAACTTCAGGGTCCAAAGCTGGAGAAAAAGAGACAGTGTTCCCCCTTTCTTTTTGAGACAAAAAAAACTTTACTAGAGGTGTTTCTGGCCACTTGGATGGAGCACCTGGCAAAGATCCATTTGAATGCCTGAAATGTATTTTCTGTGGCAAGAAGCTTGAGCTCATTGGTCCGTAAGGTTTATTTGTGATGGGAGCAGTGGGTGTGAACTTTGAGTCAACTGACTGCAGTGAGTTCCCTACCCAGAACAGGATGTATTACTAACAGATGAGGGAATTAAATGGGAGTTCTGCTAATAGGTATGATCGGACTGCCTACCATTCTGGGCATCTTCAAATCTGATTTCAGAAGAGCTAAAAGGCATGTCTGAGAAACTGTTAATGTGTTTGAAACTCCAGAGAAACCAAGCCTGTAGTGGTCCTGCCCTTTTGATGCCCTTCTGTTGTTCTAGGGAGGAAGTAGATGCCATCTTAGATAAGGGGAAGGACAAAATGGAGCAGTAATCATCCTGTCCTTAGGTACAGTCTCCACAATGTGGGGGAGCCACAGGTATCATTTTAGGAGAATTAGTAGTAGCTGGGATAAAAACACTAGCTTCCCTTACCAGAATTTGTGCTGTCATTGGGCATGTATGGACATTACAGTTTCTGCTGTAAACTGTAAACAGTTTCTAAGACTTCAGAGGTGATTTCAGAAATAGTGGCATGCTAGTCAAGTCAGAGAGCCCATCAGGACCCTGTCTGAATTTATTTGACTACAGTTTGAATTTGGTGAGGTTCCCCATTGTATGCTTTTGGTAAGATGTGACTTATGGTGTTCTACGGTGAGAAGGGACCTCTGCTCAATCACCGTGGTCTGGGCAACAGGATCACCAGTACTGTGAATAATTGGGAGAGGCATCTCTTCCAGCACCATCAGAGTGTCACCATGCAAGTCAATGGTGCCATTGTGGTGGAGATCACTCATAGGAGTAAGACAGGAGATTGAGTTAGTATGAGTGACAGCTATTATCCCATGGGAGGTCATGATGATGATGGAGAAAATCTTTTGAGGAAATGGATGGTGCCAGGGAATCCACATGGTACTGAAAGGATTGGGATTGACAGGAACAATACTTATAGGTAAAGATGATTATAGGTAAAGATGATTGGCAGATTTTTCTTTGATCTCATCCTCTGCTACAAAACTCATGTACTGAATCTCACTGATGGGAAAGCTGCAATTTATCCAGGTGTCCTCAAATGAGAAGGTAGAGCCCCAGGTGGTTGTGAATCTGTCAGCACAAAAGGTCTCAGTGTTGCCAAAGTCAGTTGCATTGCTGAATTTCATTCGATTGGACTTCTTCTTTCATTTCTTTGGTCCTGGCCCCAGGTTTACAGCAGGTCATTTCCTGCAAGCCTTGATCAGCTTGATCTTCTCAGCCCCACCCACAGACGGCAAGGTTGGTGTCAAAGTCTGGAGCACTGGGCTTCAGGCAAGACTGTTCCAGGACAAGGTTGTTCCATTTTTTCATGGTTGATTTCCCAGTTGGCACAAAAGTTTGTGTGGTGGCTCCTTTCATTAAAAAGGGCTACGTCAACCAGGACCAGCTTGGTACAAGTAGAAGCAGTGAGTTCTCGGCTGCCATATCTACAGCTTTTAGGTCTCCTTCCAAACAGGGCACAAAGGCAAGCTGTTTGGTTCCTTCAGGCCTGTTTTGTAAAAGTCTGCCAGTGTATACAAGACAACACCACGTCTTTCACCTAGGCAAAAAAGGCACAGGGAATGAAAGTTGGTTGGTGGTATTTCCCTGCCATGGTGAGCACACTTATTGAAGAGCATCATGGAGAGTGCCTGCCCCCACCCTGATCCCGGGAGAGGAGTAGAAAATGAAGATAGCAACCTGGTTGGAGAAAGGAAGAAAAAACTTGGGTGAGAAAGGAAGAAAAAAAAGAACAAATGCAGCCTAGCAGTCTAAGAAGAGATAACTGAGAAAACTATTGAGGAGAACTGAGATATGGAAGATATTCAAAATGTTGCTGTTACTTCCACAAATGAAAAGGAAGAGAGTGGAAGGGAAGAAGCCACATCCCAGACCATGCACAGAAGACACAGAGGAGAGGGCTGGGTCTCCACCAATGCTCTGCCCACCTCTAGAATATTTCAAATGGTACTTCAAGGCACAAAATCCTTGCCTGTGACTGATGAAGACCATGAAGAAGAAATATTCCATATGCAAGTTCTTTTAAGAGGCAGATTCTGCAACTTATATAAATGGTAGGCAATGAGCAAAAATGCATGATTGGGCCTATTTGCTCAGCAGGGCCCCCATATCCATGTGGATTGGTTCCAAGCCTCCCAGCAGATGCCTGAAAGTGCAGATAATAGCAAACACTATGCAATACACTATACAATAGCAAGCTGGTGCCCACGAGTGGCAGCAGCAGGCAGCAAGTGGCAAACAGGCACCTGTGGGCAGTGACTGGTGTGCCGCAAACTAAACTCAAATAACCTACATATATTTCTTTTTCCCAGTTTTGTTCATTCTTACCCCAGCACTTTAAGACTTCTTTTGGCAGTTCACGGCACTTTACAACTTCTCTTTCAGGCCAAGGTCAGCTGTGGTTAACTGAAAACACAGTAACCAAGCCAGTGGAAATGGGGGTCCTGCTGTATTCTGCAGCTGCTGATCATGTGAAAGAGCCATGACCTGTGCCGAGCCCTCTTGGGACCCATCTTGGTCTTCAGTGGGCTCACTTATTTTCAGGCCTTTCCTTCATGGAAATAAGGGGCTAAGCAGCCTTCTCTGGTGCCCTCCGGATGTTCTGGACTTCTTCCAGTAGCCCCGGCCAGCAAGGCCAATGGTCAGAGATGCTGGGAATTGAGATCAAAAACACTTGGAAAGCACTAGGCTTCAGAAGGCTGAACTACAGAGATACTTGCTTCATTTTTAAATAAAAAGTGTAATTTTAAAGAAGTTAAATTATGTTCCTCATATAACATTGTTTACATTGCATTGGTCCAAGAACCACTGAATATTCAGAACTCTGACATTCTCTACACTTCTCCACTGTATTCTTGTTTAGGAGTGTTGGAAAATGGAGGAGTGAACATGAGGAAATTGCCCACAGAGGTAAAGGTTTACTTGGTCACAGCTGCATCAGCACCATATTGTGGTGAGTCACATAGCCCACCCAGATGGCTGAAGACTTTTTCTGATAACTTTATAAGGAACCAGCATAGAGCCTATACCTATATGACGTTCTCCATGGGTTTGGGAACCTGGTTTTTTTCAGGGTTTACAATCACATGGATAGCATTCAGTTGTACACAAGTAGCTCTATGTAGCCCTTCTAAGACATTTGCATAGGCCAGGGGTGTGGCTGGCCTTCGTGAACCTGCTGTCCACCCACTGCATGGTCACAGGCATATATAACTAAGGACTGAAAGGGGCCTAAGAAGGTTATTGCTTCAATACTCTGCGCATACTATTCACTCAGTTTCTGGGAAAGGAATGTGTGGAAGGCATTGTGTTTACATTTCCAGAAAGGGTAGCCATGTAAGCCTGTTGCAATGAAAAGAGTTTGGATCTTTCTTGATCATATCTAAGGTGATAAAGAATTGGAAGGCTCTGCCTCTAATGTTAGATCTCTTATGACCCATTCACATATACATGTCATCACTCCAGGCAGTGGTTATCAAGTGGGGAATTAGTTAGTGTGAACTGAGTTGGAGTATGAGAAAGGGATCCAGTGCTGTTGATCACTTCACTGGCTCATTAAACTCACCCAACTGAATATTAATTCTTGGAAAATCTTGAACTTGCAATTCCTGAAACAGAACTGCTAAGTTGCTTTCTTCCTGTGGTCCAACTTATTAACAAAGGAAAATCTGCTAACAACATGAAAGCCCCAGGGGTTCATAATGTACAGTGAGGTATGGAATAAAGCAGTATATTTTTACAATAAAACCATCTTTCCCTTAGCCCTGCTGTCCTCTCATGCAAAGATATATTACAGTTCAGTGCCTTTTCTCATAGGTCAAATTGGTGTGACAGTGGGGGTATAAGTAAATCCTAAATCCAAGAAAGGCAGCAGAAATCTTTTAATCGTGCGTATTTAGGAGAGTCAGTACTCTGTGCCCAGAATGTAATTTTTGTGCTGCCTAGTGTACCACAGCCTGGTGGAATTCCACTTGCAGGAGAGGAAAAATTCAGATACCCACATTGAGATCACCTTCCTCAGCAGCAACTCCTCCTTCAGCACCACCATTATCATGTAAGTAACAATGGACTTCCTCTGTTCTTCTCTTTTTCCTGGCAGGAGTTGGGGGTGGATTTCCTAATAATTCTTTTCTCCCACCATTGCAATAGCAGCAACACAGGGCCCAAGTACATTCATCTTCAAAGGCTTGAGGATTTGCCATTCCAATGTATCATGAACATTTGTGTAACACTTATGAACATGCTGAAGAATCTGTGAATTCATTGCAGCATGAAAATAGTCACGGTCCAAAAGGTATACAAGCTTGTGTAAACCTGTAGCAATTTTGTCTAGTATTTGCTTGGTTGATGCAGAGCTGCAGAGCAACAGCCGTTGTTGTGAATCACTGTTGTCTGTTTGACAATGACTAGTTACCTCCCATTGTTTCATTCTTCCAGAAACTCCTCTCCCCTGCTCCAATTCATACTTCTAAAATAATGCAATTACCGTAGCAGCTCCTCTCTCTAATGGACAGTTCTGCAACAAGCCAATAAAGCTTTGATGACGAAACAAAACAGCACATTTTATCCTGTACAAAGAGATATCTATTCTCACCCACATGCCTTGTTGGTCTTTGCAGACCGAAGCAGGAAACCATCGGCAAAGGCCTGTTGGCTCATTCTGCCCCACTGTGCCATGTGGAAGGGGTGATGTTGCAATATCGCTCCAAGACCTGGAGGAGAAAGAAAGATGAGTCCATCGTTGTTGGCCGGTTCTGTACTGCCCCCCTGCCTGTAGATATAAGGTAAGCAATGAGCATCTTTCTAAAGCCTTCTTCAGTAAGAGAATTATACTGAGCTCTTTGGCTTTTATGATGTTTGGGGAAGGCACACAGACAAAAAGGACATTCATTTCCTTTCATTGGAACTGCAGTTAAACAATGCTCACAGTTTCAGTATGATGGATGGTTTTATATAGGTAAAACCTATATTTATCTGAATGCCTTTTTTTAGCTCACCCAATTCCAGAAGCTCCGGGTAGGTTACAATAATTTTAAACACCAAACTTGTTTTTCTCATTCTTCCCTATCTGCTAGGACTACCAGTAGACAATCCATTATTCTGAGTTCAGTACTTTCTAAAGGCATCCAAGAAGTTATCAATTCCCCTTGCCTCAGCTCAGGGATATTAAGCTTTCAGAAGTCAATCCCACCCTTCGGCCAATCGAGTACCACTCACCAAACTTCATTAAGTCTCTATTTCTTTGAAACCACATTGGAGTCACCACTGCAGGAGTAGCCTTGCCTTAGTACCTGCACTTTCCACTGGCTGACCAGAAAGCCTCTATAGAACAAGCAAGAGCAACTGCAGATATGGGGCCTGAGCCAGGGTCTGTGGGATTGAGGGGTTGGTTGAGGGATAGCTAGCAACAGATTCAGGAAAACTGAGTGGTCAAGAGTAAAAGCATCTGCCAGAAAACTAGAATAGCTAATCCGGGGAGACAGGCTGAGGCGCCGGGACCACATGATAGCATCATGAATTCAATATAACATCTTTCTGAAGAACTTCATGAGCACCCATTAACTTTAGCATCTTCTCCTCTTTCAGGGAGAAGCTGTTATTTTTAAAGTTTTTATTTTCTATCAGTTTAAACAACAACAATTATTCCAAAGACATCGAACATACTGGGTTATTATCTTATTCTTTTTACAATTGATGTCTATTTCAGCCCTACATGAAGTGGAATTGATCCAATGTAAATTTGCCCGTAACAAATCCAGCTTGTTCGACAATAATTGAGTCTTCAGCAACCCAAGACTGTAATCTGTGCAGCAGGTGTCTAGAGTACAGTTTACTTGGTTTAAACACTGAGTAAACCAATTGGGCAAAATTATTTGGATCAGCATTTGAACCTTTCTTATGAATTGGCATCACAGTGCTTACTCCCCAAGCTGAAGGAGCGCTCTCATTATGATTTACATACTTGAAGATTGGGGCAAGAACTGGGCACCACCAAACTAGGTTTGCATTAAACAATTATTCTGGTAGCATATCTGCTCCGGGGGCTTTTTAAAGGGTAGGGAATTAATTAAAACATTTAGGTTCATCCGGGGAGACAGGGTCCTATTCAGGGCAGAAGGAGAGTCCTAAAAAGTTGATATTATTAGAAAAAGTTGTAATGGTCCTGGAGGGGAAATGGTTAGAAAGGAAAAATAATTATGCTGCTGTGATGGCATAGCTGGATTGTCAAAAGGACTATTATAATCTCTTGACGCATATGCTACTGGAGTCTAGAATCTGGAGGCGTCCTTTTCTAGAGGTGCCAAGCCCAACTCCAGCCATAATACCACGTGTGCTATCTTTCAAGACATGTATATGAGTTAAAATTTCCCACGTGTCCTCACATCTCAGTTTCCTTATTGCTTTTGCTAAGGTGTACTATCGGACCTCCTGGGTGAGCAAATACCCACTGTAAGAACAGAGCCCTTAAAGGAAATTTCTGGAACAAGCATCGAACTACATAAAAAGCCCCTCTTGAACGGAGGAGAACTCCCCCCTCCCCCGCTTCAGAGTTTAAGTGGCGACAGAACTGGGGGAGATTAACTGAGATTAATTGGAAAAGTTTGAGAACTGGAAAAGAAGAGATTTCTTTTAATCTCCCCAAGGGCGAAGAATTAAATTTGAAGCTTACTGTAAATCAATTTGAAAAAAAAGTCCGTTTTCCTATCTGTTTACATTCCTCTTTCGAGGCGGCATGGTTATCTGATTATTTCCGGCCATTGTCCATGAATTCGGAATTTATTGGCTGGTTGTTACAACAAATAGCCCTTTGGTGCCATCTCGTGGTTACTTTACGTCATAACAGGCGGTTTGAATAACAAAAATATTTTTGGCTCTTTGCTGCCACCTCGTGACTATTTTGCTTCATAACAGGCTACTTTAATAAATTTTCTCTTTTTCAACAATGAAAAAAATCTACTCATCAGCACCTGCACCTACATCCGCAAGTCAAAGTTCAACACACCAACCAAAACCCTCGGACCTGATGATTCAGCAAGAAAAAGTTCAGAAGGAGTTACAGATAACACTCCTAGCAATTCAGGAGTCTATTCAAAAATTGGCTTCAGAACAAAATGAGAAATTGGAGAAGATGGCCTCAGATCAAAATGAAAGACTGGATAAATTGGATAGCCATATTGTGGCTATAAATGCCCAACTTACAGATATTCAACTTAAAACAGTGCAGAATGAACAAAAAATACAAGAAGTGGGAAAGAAGACTGACAATATTGATAAGAAAACTGAAGAGAATGACAAAGAAATACAACAGTTAGCACAATAAGACATTATGGGACTCAGTCACTATATTGGAGATGGAGAAGGCATCTAATTACTTAAGACTACAGAAAGTACCAGAGACAAAAAATGAAGACTTAAGTGACCTAATAAATACAATGCTAGCTGATGTTCTTGGCATTGAACAGGAAGGGATTGATAAAGAAATCTGTTTGGTTTACAGAGTAAACTAGAGTTATGTAAGAAGACAGAAATTCCTGAGAGAAGCCCATATCAAATTTACAAAAAGGTCTATAAGAGATGAATTTCTCAAAATTTTACGTGACTGGCCATTAAAATGCGACCAAAATGATATAAGTGTTTTGAAACAAATACCCTGGATAATCAGAGAAGGACGGAAGAAATATCAGTTTCTTACTTCAAAGTTGATGGCGGAAGGAATCATGTTCAGATGGCTGATACTGGAAGGGATACTCTTCAATTGGAACGCCAGAAGATTTAGATTGGATTCAACCTTTAAAGCCCAAGAATTCTGTGAAAACTTTAGAAGTGCATTTGAAGATGAAGAACAGACTGAAGAAAAGTTAAAATGGTGAGGCAGCAGCTGCAATAACTCATCTTCCAGAGGAAGAAGAATCACAACTTTAGAACAACAAGGAGATGAACAGTTATCAGAACAAAGAGAAAAGAGAAAAGCTAGAAATGTGAAACCTAAATATAAATAGGCATATCCACTAAATAAATATGGATTTCAAAATGGAAGGACGAATTGAATTATTCTCAGTAAATATAAATGGACTAAACTAACCTCCTAAGCGGAAAAGAATTTTTTCCCAACTTCAAAAATTGAAACAAGATGTAATTTGTCAACAAGAAACATATAAAAAAAAAACATCATCATAAACTTCCGGAATGCTCAAAACGTGGTGAGGTATTTATATCTTTGGCCCATCAAAAGAAAAGAGGTTTGGCTTTATATATTAAAGAAAATTTGGATCCTAAACATGTTTTTTCAGATGAAGATGGTAGAATTTTAATGGTTGAGGTGACAATAAAACAAAAGAAGGTGCTTTTGGTGGCAATCTATGCACCTAACAGCCAACAAATTTTTTTTTATCAAGATTTACATACTTTACTTGTGCAAACTGAATACCAAACTCTTTGCTTAATGGGAGATTTCAATGCAATTGTTCATTTAAAAAATGAACAAGAGTGACAATAAAGGGAAAAGAGGAAGGAGAATGCTTCCAAAATCTTTCTTTAACTTACTAGAGGAATTTAGACTTACAAACGTTTGGAGACATAAAAACCCAACTACAGCCAAATACACTTTCTATTCGAATAGACATAGGTCATGGTCCAGAATCGATATGATGTGTATGACTCCTACCGTATTTTTCGCTCTATAAGACGCACCTGACCATAAGACGCACCTAGTTTTTAGAGGAGGAAAACAAGAAAAAAAATATTCTGAATCAAATAGTTTACTAAACTATTTAATAAACTATAACAGAATACAGTAATACTGTATTTCAACCTTGTAAAGTGAACAGCAGTCAACAGTGGCATTAAGAACCATCATCACTGTCATTAACAAAAGAGAGACTTTAAAGTTCGAGTACTCTTCTAGTTTTCGTTGAACCCATAGAACTCATCATCGCTAGAGTCAGAATTTATGAAGCTCTGTTGTTCACAATCACTGACATCACTTTCTTCACTATCTTCATATAAGATACCATCTTCGGTTCCATCCAAAGCATTGCTAATTCCACATTTTTTGAATGACTGTACAACGATTTCCTCCTTCACTGAGTGCCATGATGTTTTCACCCATTCACAAACTTGAGTGATAGTGGGCCTCTTCATTCGTCCAGTAGGTGTCAGATCATGATTACCAGCAGCCATCCATTTGTTCCACTCTTCTCGCATAAAGACCTTAAATGGTTTGTTGGTGGAAATGTCAAGAGGTTGCAACTGGCTGGTAAGACCTCCAGGAATTACAGCTAGATGAGTCTTCACTTCTTTAAAGCACTTTTTTGTAGTTTCGCTAATATGTGCTGTAAACTGGTCAAGCCCTAATAAGGCAGGTTTTTTCAGAAGCCCTCCAGGATGTTTGGACCACTCTTTTTCAACCCATACTCTCATTCCATTTTCGTCCATCCATCCTTTCTCATGAACATGTACAACTCCTCATGGAATCACTTCTTTTGGAAATGTTTTCCTTTTGAAAATTAACATGAGTGGAAATTTGGTGCCATCCGCACAGCAAGACAACACAACCGTGTAATGGGTTTTCTCATGTCCAGAGGTTTTCACAGTGATAGTTTTGGCACCTTTCAAATCAACAGTCCTATTAGATGGCACTTCAAAGGTTAGCGGGAGTTCATCCATATTCCCAATCTGGCCAATTTCAACCTCATTTTTCTTCCTAGCATCAATTACAAATTTCTGAAAAGACAGAATCTTAGATTCATATTTTTCTGGCATTTTTTGCGCAATTCTAGTTTTGGTGTGCATAGCAAGGCCACATTGCCTCATAAATCTGTAGCACCACGATGGTGATCCAGTAAAATCGTGAATGCCTTTCTCTACAGCAATGCATTTGGCTTCATGTATTATCATTTTTGTAGAGACTGAGAAGCCATTATTCCGGTGATGTGTGATCCATTCTTTCATGGCCACCTCTAACTGTGGCCACTTTGCAGAATTCCCACGAAAAGGGTGCTTACTTTTATTTGCTTTTTGCAGCTGATCTTCCTGTTTCCTCCACTCTCTTATCATTTTTTCAGTTGGAGGTGGCCCAAAA